CAATTTACAATTTTTAAATATAGTCAGATCCATTTAATTTATTAATTTAATATCTCAATTTAATTTTATGTTATTGAAAAGAACCCCTTTATTTTATATGTCTCATCTTTTAACCATATGACCACAATATAAACATATTACTTATTTGCTTTTGTTTTTTTCTTGTTCTTTTTACTGAAAGCTGGTCTATAATAAAAATAATTGATAGATGGATAGTTTATAACAATTTGTAATCAAATTAAATTTAAATTGAAAAAAATAAAACGACAAAAAAAAAACAATCTTTGAATTGTTAAAAATTAAATTGAGCTATTGAACAAAAGTGTTGCCGTTTGACGATGACTTTTATTTTAACTTATTTAAATGTATAGATAATTCTAATTTGAACAATATGTGATCTACCAAATAAAATTTTGACATAGCGAAATGGTTGGTATTCGTCTAATTCGCCTTGCCAACAAACATAAAATTAGCATGTTGGTAAAGGGAATGAAACATATTATTTATGTCAACAATTGATAGAAAAAGCGTCGTGTGAACATTAGGTATTTACCCATTCCGGAATTTGAAACAGAAAATGCATTCATAATGTATTCTAATTTTTCGTTCTTAATGGTAGTTTTTAAAGTAAATTATTGTCAAGAGTTCACATTTCCTTGTTCATATTACCATAGCACAGCGAATGTTATGTACATATAATCAATTATTATTTAAATTGTTGAAATTTTTACTAAAAATTAAATTAATACCGACTCATAATTAATTAAAAAAATTCCCGTAGATTACTAGAATATGTCATTCTTTCTTCTTTTTTTTTCTCCTGCTTTCACTCCATTTTTAAGCATAATGCTTCCACATAGCCTCTCCATCGCACTCAATTATTTGCCAATAACTTTATTTGTGCCCAAGCCGAAATTTACCACTAGCCGAAATTTTTTCTTCATTGTTCTTCGTCAAGTTGTCCGAGGTTTTCCCACTTTACGTTTTCCTTGTGGGTTCCATTCGAGTGTCTGTCATAACCATCGCCACTTTTTTCTCCTTATGTGTAGACTTACTGGTTCTTAACCGGTTAGTATGTCCACAGGTCGTCGTTGCTAAGTTCTCCTAGGCCAGAAAATCCTGCATATGCTTCTTAGACACTTATTGATGAATACCTAAATTTTGTTGTATTGCCGACAGTAACGACAATGGTGCACGTCTAATAGAGTTATGTACAGAGTGATATGCCATATTGACTTGTAATTGGAATAAATATTATTGAATGTTAAAAAACAACAAAGTTAATAAGACAACAAAATATATAAAAAATACAACTAATGTATAAATATAAATATACAAAACCTGTTGCTACAGCAGAAAACTATAGTTTTTCATACAATAAAAAATAAAATTTAAGACTTCCTAATATTTAAATTTGCATTAGGAAATCGTTTTTACTGTGAGTAAATTCTCAAACAAAAATTGTTATAAATTACAAGGAAGAACTGGATCATAATTTACAAGGAACTATATAAAATCACCACAATAAAAATGTAGATCTATAAAAATTAGAAATTCGATCAGTTCAGTTTTCATAAAATAATTGTTTATCTTTGTATCATTGATTTTAATCTACTATTTAACACGATAAATTAGAGAATCACGTTCAATATTAAAAATGATTTTAGTTTTATTTAGAAATTTACGCATCTGCATGCTTATAAATATAATCTCATCAGTATGTGCATTATGCAATATGCAATGAAAAAACAAAAAAAAATTTACTCATTTTATGCATTTATTTTGCTGAAATCCATCCGATGCATTTTTTGTCCATACAAGCGTATAACACAATTCATTTGCTTATACAAAATTTTTTTTATGTTTCAATGTTAGATTCCGCGACGTCTGAAAAGACATGTGATATTTTATTAAATTATAAATAAAACAAGAAATTAAATATAAAAATTAATTGACATTTCATACTATATAATATGTAAGTATGCATATTGGAATGCCGTAATATGAAATAATTTTGTAACATATGCATTCTAATTGTTCACGGCCAATGACCTCACATATTTAGGATTATAAAATTTTATATAGTTTTAATTAATTAGTTTCAGATTTTATAGCGTAATTTGTAAATGCAAAGAATTAACCGGCGTTGCTGGAGTTGTCTTCGGCTCAAGTCATATCCAAAGTAATGCGTTGATGTTCTCAAATACTATTGTGAATCTGTGTCGCTGATTTTGTTGAGAAAAGAGCGAGTGTACATTTTAAACAAAGCACATTTTATGTTTGTTGTATTTGAAGATATCCTTCGTCGCTCCCATACCCTGTCGAAATCAAATCCATAAATCATGAATCTCCCTTAAATTTACTGAAGAAAACATGGAACAAGGAGTTAAAATAACAATTTTTTAAAAATCATTGAATGTGAAATGATGCCCTAACTTTGTATTATTAAATATGCAAAATATCGCAGCGCAATTGAAGAATACATATAGTCCACCTGTATGTCATTGCAAAAATATTATTGCAAAAACGAATTTGACCGTCAATTTTTTTACTTACATAAATATTCACATAAACTTTCTCAGATAAACTTTCATAAACATAAGTTATATCAACAAAGTTACTCTTAATTTTTCTATTATAAGGCCCAAATATAACTTTTCTTCGAATTTCGCAAAAAATCTCAATTGATCTATGATAACGGTCCTGATACATGCATATATCAACTGTGTTATGTATACGCAACAATAATGTTCATACTAATTGTATTTCGATGCTACCAGCTTTAGCTTTTAATTTAATTTATTAATATTTTCAAATAAACTTTTCTAATAAATATTTAATTTTCACATTCAATTGAAATTAAAATATTTTCTTAAAAACCAGTGCAAAATTACATAATTCTATTTATAAAAACAAATTTTATATTTTTAAAATTAAAATTGAATTATGTATGTAAATTTGAAAAATTTTATTACTTCTGATACGTTTATTTATTTTTAATTAAATAAAGAAACAAATGAGGAAATATTAATCCAAAAATAATATGTTAATCTATTTATATGTAGAATATATGTATAACAGATATTTCTGGTATACATTCATTTGTGTATAGAAAATATTTAATTGCATTACAACGCTTGGGAATTAATATTTTTGAGTATATTAGCATACAGTACAGAACTTAATGCATCGAAACTATCAGTATCGTAAGTTAACAGTAAATATTATTAAAGATCTATTATCTAAAGACAGGCAATCTTCACGAGCGCTTTGTGTCTTGTCTAGAGTACTCCCTCGAGGCCTATATTTCTGATGAATCCGAGCAATTTTTCTGGGGAAATATTTCACAACAACATGATTACTAGCGCGGGTTCAACTAAGTTCTAATATGTTTACAGGGTATCGACAGGAAATTCATGATAATTCTCACATAATTCTGCGCCCTTTTTATGGTTGTCTTATAACGCTCCCGATTCTAATTGCCCAAAAACAATTTTCCTTGCCGAATATCCCTTAATAATAACACCGAAATTACCTTACATAATATTACTATTATTAATCTGATGTACAAATTTAACATACCTTGCAATTTATGATCCATATTTGTATAAGATATGAATATGATAAAAATTCACTCCACTTATAAAACACTTGATATTCTCGTACCGTTTTATTTCCAAAAAAAATATTATTCTTTCAATATTATTTAAGTGTACATACATATATTTATATATGTATATATAATGTTTATATTGCTTCATTTGTGATTCATTATACTTGTACAAGAAATTAAAAAAATAGTGAATACAAAACTATTATACTGATGTCATTCCAGTGATCGTAATTTTTAATTTTAATTTAATTTCTTTGCGTTTGAAAACTATATGTATATAATGTAGTACACATATATATTAAACTATTAAATATTTTTATTATTTACTGGTAAAGTTAAGATGAACTATTTATGCTTATAAATTATAATAAGTGTATCTTTTCCACATTTTAAAAGATATTCATATATAGATTTTATTGCTTACATAGAGTTTATTTTTAATATTTCTCATAATAAATCGAATAATGATAGGGAGAGACCATTGATGGAAACTAAACGTAGAGTGAGTAAATAAATGTATTTGAAATTTTTGAATAACCCATCTGCCTCTCCGCTCATTATCGAAAATTTATGAAATTTTTGCTACAGTCAAAAACATTTTGTATGTTTTTCTCTTGTATGTACTCAGTCAAGACTTAACTTCTATTTTATTTTCGAACGTTTTTCATTATTGACTGCAATATTACGATGTTAACTTACTGAACCGACTGAATTTTAAAATATTTAACGGATATTTAATAATCCTTTAAGTTACCCGAAGGCGTTGTTCTTATTGGTCCAAATACAATAGCGCCAGTTGTTGGCAGATAAGAAGCAATTTTCGAAAGTTTGGTGATATTTGTCGAATTCTTCTTTCTCGTGTAATCGAACGAGCGGACGAATATATCTTAATGAAAGAAAAAATTTTGCGCTTAGCAAGAATATACTTACCACCAAATATATAAACATATTCATACCACAAAAGACTCCTTTAAAAGATTATAAACTCCATACCAATGTTCACCTTCTTGAAGGGTATGAAAATCTTGAAGGGCAATTTTAATTTTCCCATTCAAATTCATTGTTTTATTATAAAAGCAAAACTAAATTTTACTATTTCAAAAGAATTTTTTAACACTGGAACGAATTTCCGAAGAAGAATTTAGAGGAATAATGGAAATTCAATAAAAAAATTTCCTCTTAATAAAATTTTCTATTGAAAATTTCTTAGTAAATGCAAAATTTTATCCATAGAAAGTTATTTTAAAGTCTTAAATGAAGTATTGTGAAATAACAATATATTTTTAACACAGAAATATTATAATCAATAAATTTTCCGAAATTATATCGAAAATTCGAAAATTTACGCCATTTTTAATTCAAAATATGTTTTTTTATTTCTTTTCAGGAAATTGAAATCAAATCATATGAATTTGATAATATTAAATTATATAAAGATTTGAAAGTATTACAAAAAGACTCAGAGTTTCGTAACTCAACAATTATTTATCCAGTGACAAGTGTAGATGAATTTTATATATTGCATGCATATTTCTGTCGGGTAAGAAGAAATTTTTTTTCAAATTTAATTTTTATAATATTTTTATATATTTTGTTTTTTTTATTAATTGCTTTTGTATAACAAAAAATAATTTCTCCTTAAAAATAGCAAGAAAATTTTTCTATTATTTTCTTTAATTATTTGTGCAGACGAAAATTTTAATTGCAAATTTAAAATTTAATTAGATAAGGCTTTAAAAAATGTAAAGACGTTAAAATAGTGGAGAGTTTTCAATTATAAAAAAATTCAATTTAAATATGAAGAAGTCATGAGCATTAAATCTTTTTTGTAATAGAAAATGAATGGGTCTTATGGAATTTTTACATTTTGTAAGCTAAATTTGATTTTTTAGTTTCGCGCAGCTGTACATAAATTAAGATAAACTATTTTTGTATTTATTTTGATCTCTCAGTTTTGATTCACTAATTCTGAATATAGTTATTTCTTTAAGCACAAATACATTTCATTCTAATTAACATGAAATTGAATTCAAACTAAATTCAATAATGGTGTCAATGCCATAAATGAAATTTGAATAAATTTCTTTTAAAAAATTTATGAGAGTAATAACCATATATAACGTATGAGGAATGCAGTGCCATTACCAGAAAAAAATTTTTAATATTTTTATTCGTACAATTAATAAAAATAAAATTAAAAAAAAGTGATTTCTTAATTCTGTTATATTGTGTTTAAAGTGTCATTCTCATTTATTTTTTGAGAAAAAATCAAAATGTAAAATAAAATACCAATTCTTCTTTATACCAATTGAAAATATTATATTGTTTGAAAATTTCATTTAAAATAGGGAAACAAAAACCTTTATGACAAAGCGTACCGTGTAGAACAAAGGTCAGATTTTTTATAAAAACAAAAAAAAATGTTATTCAACTTTACTCTTGTCAAATCGATATCATTTTTAAATTTATTTTGAAGTAATTCCGTTCGACAAAATCTTAAAATCGATGCTAATATTGGTATTTACTGAGATAAAATGGTTTCAATTACGTTCTTAAAGTAAATTTTAATTATAAAAGTCAAATTTTCTAATTATGTAAATATGTATTTAAAAGTTGAATAGGTCCTCCCTTGCAAATGTTATGTTATGATATATGTAGGTAGCTACTCACCTATAAAATTCAATTCGTATTATAATGTAATTTATTAACAACATAAAATTGCATATACATATATAGGGCTAAATATATTTTTTGAACAATTTTCTTTTTAAATTGACAGTTTTTACCTTTGGCTTAACAAAAACATTAAGTAAGAAAAATTCTCATAACAAAAGAGAGAAAACGTAGCTCTTTTAAAGAAGTTTTGATGAGAACTATAAGAATGGCCCCTTTTTATGATGTCGAAGCTTTTACCTACAATGGATTTTTGTATATTTGTATTCTTAACATAGCGTTGCAACAGCTCTAAATACAATAGTACTTTTTGTATCTTGAGTGTTTGAGTAAAAATTTAAGTTTGAAACCGTCAATTACAAAACCAAAATAATTTAAATTGTTTAAATTCTGACAGCAAATGCTCTTGTGTTTTGTATGTAATTCATTAAGAATTAACAACAGAGAAATACTGGAAACTTTATTATTCTTTGTTTAACAATATTTAAAGCTTTTACGTCAGAAAATTTCTAATTTGTAGATACAAAGAGAGAGAAATAGTAAGTACCAACGTTCAAAGAATACAAATTTAATAAGGCCCGATTACCTCTATTTTTATAAATTCACTATTAATTAAGTTTAGTAAACTCTGCCCACTTTCAATTATTTTGAAATGTCAAACCATAATGTAAATAAACAAAACTCTTCTATCTCTTATTATTTATAATTTATGAATGTGTTTTCTTTTTTTTCTCTCAATTTTTTTCTTAACCCTTTATTATTATTTTTTTTAACCATTCTTGTGGTTTTCTCTTGTTGCTTTCAATTTTTTTTTTCAAGTATTTCTTAATTTAATTTCTCTTTCATTGTAATATGGGAACTATATAAATAATATTTTTTTTTTCTTTTTTTTTCTCAATTCTTCAATTTATATAGCTTCATTTGGATGCATTACGTGAAAAAAGTTATCAATTAGAAAAAAAATCTTATTTTATTGCAAATGGTACAATACCAAATGATATTTTAGAAATACGTTGGCCTTTAGGTACAATACCGGTCAGTATGCCAGAAACCCGACATGATATTATAACATGGCATTTTATAAATAGAACACATACATTTATGCCAAATCATGAAAATGCAATAGAACCATTAAAACAAATTGATTTACAAGATTTAAATAAAATTATAAATATAACAGTCTCATATATTAAAAAAAAGTATCATCAAAATGAAATGCAATGGGAACAACAACAGCAGCAACAGCAGCAATCACAAGAAATGGAATTTTCTGAAATTGGAAATTTAAATTCATTAAAATATGAAAAGATTCATACAATTTATAGACGTTTTGATCCGATGCGTGGAATGGATTATCATATACATTTTTTATTCTTAGATTTAAGAACAAATAAGAGGCATATAAAAAGGTCAGTATTTGTTTTTTTTTTTTTTCTCATATGTAATTTTCTTAGATCGTCTCGGTTTGTGTTGTAATTTTGTTTTTGTTTTATTTTTGTTTTTTCATGTAAGTTCCACAGTACTATTTGTCTTTTTTTATCTTAAACATATTTAATTTTAATATTAATAGATATTGTGTATAGGCACTTGAGTTTTAAGCGTTATATATTGTAGGGAGAAGAATTGTTTTATTTAAATTTTTATGGATTAAAGTGATTTAAAATCTTACATAAGTACGCGGTTCATAAATTCAAAAAGACCATGAATTTAATTAAATATTTTTAAAATTGATTTGGCATTCAGTTACTATGTGTATACTAGATATAAAGAGTGAAAGTTCCGGCGCAATCGAAATAATGGTTAAAATTCAATATGTATGGTAAATAAGTTCGAAGTTATTGTTTAAGTGACATCTTTGAATCGTTTTCTTAACTATTAGTAACTGACATATTTTTTTTCGTAAAATTCAAATTATATCAAATTTCTACAATTTATTGCACTAAATCTGAAATCTTAAAAATTTTTAAATCTGGGTTTATATTATATTAAACATTGTCTTGGATTTTATCTAATTTGATTAAAATTTATTATAATTTTGTTGTGCAAAGCAGTGTAAATGCACCAGAATTTTGTTTAATGATAAAAAAGTAGAACGCCATCTACATTGTAAAAAAATATGAACCAAAGACAATATTTGAGATTCCCATCTGCTTTAGATTTCAAAATTCTCGGATTTGATTTTTATTTTTCTGAAATTTTCATTTTACTCGTAATATGCCCGATTCCTTAATTTTATTTTACAATTTTATGCGTTCAAAATATTTTCTTCTTAATTAAATTAATAAATTTCTTTTTTTAAATCACTTTAATTCTTTGAATCTAAACTTTCGTTGTCTTTTAATAATACGAGTATAATAAATTTAAGTATAAAAGAATTTACCACTTATAAAAGAAAAAATTTAAAAAAAAAACGCTAATAAAATTATTGTTTCAAATTTAATAAAAAAAAAAAAAAAAACAAATAATAATAATTTTAAATGTATGTGTGTACCTATAGAGAACAGTGCCTGTTAGTGCCTTATTTCTCTTCTTTATTCATTTATATTGTTATTTTATTTAATTTTATGAAATTTATATTATTATTTTTTTTTTTAATATACATTTTATAGCTTTTATGTTGTTAAACCACTTGGTAAAGTTGAAATAATTCCATCACCATATGTAACTGAATCAACAAGAATTGCAATATTATTACCAACATTTGAACATCAAATTGATAATTTAGATAATTTTATAAAATTATATGAGAAAATTTGTATGGAAAATCAAGATAATACATTTTTAATGTTAATATTTTTATATAATTATAATTCATCAAGTAAAGGTGATTTAGATCCATTTCGTAATATTAAACAATTAGCATTAGATTTAACAACAAAATATAAAACGGATGGTTCTAGAATAGCATGGGTATCAATTAGATTACCACAACAATTAAATGAAATCTCATCAAATATAGATAATAATATAATGTTAAGTTCAATATATGGAAAATATGAAATACTCAGTTTGGCTGTGACAGATTTATCATTACCAAAAATTGGTTTAGATAGTTTAATATTACTTGGTTCGAATGCAATGACATTTAAGGCTGATTTTTTAAATAGAGTAAGTATATTGTAATTTAATTAATATATATATATATATATATATAATTTAGTTTTAATATAATATTAATTAGTTAGCTAGAAAGGGGATGTGACACTCTCAACAACGTCACGAAGTACAAGGCCAATAGAAAGCCCATCGACATCTCTCCACTATTAATATTAAAAATTGAAATTAAATATATTTTACTTATCTTTGGAATTAATTAGACAAATTAATAATTATTGTTAACAAATACTTAGCATCTTATATCTTATATTTTCTATAACCTGTTTTTAATTCAGACAGTAAAGCTAAACGTCCCCAAAGAAAAAGTGAGGAAAAGTGAGAAACGAGCTTTAGTAAATTTTTGCTTTACTATTCGATATTGGCTGACTTTACAAAAAATTCGTTCTATTGTGAATAACACAGCCTACAAGATATTGTTATAACCTGCAAGATGATTCACATAGAAAACACCGGTCTACATATATGAAAATTATATGTTTATGACATTCTCCACTTTTACAATTTTATTCATTTTCCATATGCAAAACTCTTCTAGAGTTTTGATCTGTATACATACATATTATTATATTCTTTAAGTGCAAATGTACTGAAATTTTAAATATGTACAATTTTTTCTACAATAAATTGTAGACAATTTTTTTTTTTCAAAAACTTGTAATTTTTCAAGTGTAATTTAAACATAATATCAACCTCTTCCATTTTAAATTTTAAATTTCATATATTGTATAATATAGGATGCTAATATGTGACTCCACTTTTCTATATATAAATTAAAAGAACTCTTAATGTAATTTATTTCTATTTAAGAATTAAAATATTTATAATATACTAGATAAAATTTATAAGTATACATGAAAAAGGTTACCATTTGTATTCAATTACCACTATAGAAAAATTTCCCAAAAAAATTATGTTTAGAAAATTTATTAAATGTTAGAAAACATGTTTTTGAAAATATAGTTCTCACTAAATAACTATAGGTCCCTTTACAAGAAAATGTTAAATTTTAACTTAATTATTTTGTAAAAAAAAATAAGCTCCATCTCGTAGGCGCGTATTTTTTTTTCACAAAGAATTATTATTTTGACAAGTTATACTAATTCTAAAACATACTTTGACGTTGTCAAAAAAATAATTCTGTTGTTTTTTGTTGCGTTATTTTAAAAACTAGCCTCGATGCTTATTATTTATTAAAAATTTATAACTAGGTATTTTGGTAGTAAACTGTCAAAAAAATGTGTTTGAAAAATCACTGCTATACTGTTCCAACATACGAGTATGTATTATTTAACAAAGAACGTACTAACAAAACTATTAAAAATTTAGTCGATATACTTCTTTAGTTACCAGTTGTGTTGCGTTGCTTTAATTATTTATATAAAATATTGCTGCCACTTTCGAAATTTCCTTGAAATACTGCAATCTTGAAAATATTTTAGTTCGAACTAAACATTATTCTAAATTTTGCAAGCCAATGTAGTTTCGAATTTTGAAAAAGAGCCAATAATCTTTATTTTAATCTCTGTATTGTGTTTATCTGCACTAGGCAACTCTTATTTGTTTTTATATGGAAGATATTTACTTGTAATTTTCTAATAATAATTTTCGAACTCGAAATAATGTTATTAAACTTTTAAATAAAATTATGTATGTTATTTCATTTCATTGTGATACTTAAGAATAATAAGCATTAAATTCAAATAGATTGGTGGATATAATATGTATAAAAAAATATTTTGACCTCTGCCATGAACTATTAAGATTTGGTCATCCGAAAACATTATTCTTTCTTATTTCATTATTCCCTTTTTGTTTTTTTTTGTAAGCTTTGATTGAAATCATTAGCTTATTGAGTGTCTTTTTTTGTATTTCTTTAAATAAAGTGTATACATATACAAACAATAGAAATAATTTAGAATGATGAAATCATTGATTTATTTGTGATCAACATATAATTTCTATTAAAATTAAAGTTTAAAATAAACTAAAATAAAAGTATAATTAAAAATACATAAAAATAAAAAATCAAATTTTGTATACTTTTTTTGTTTGTAATTTTTTATTAATTAAATACTTAAAAAAAAAATTGAAATTTTTTAATTAATCGAACGAGACCGGTTTATTTAAAAACGGGGTTTTTATAAAGGTTTTATATTTCGTTGATTTTTTTTTGCGTTGCTCTAATTATGTCACGAGTTCTTGAATTGTTAGGGATCGCCAAATTTATCTGTATAACGACATCAAAAGATAGAGAAAACAAGCAAGTTGTTTTTCGCTTTTCAATATAAAATATGTAAGGTGATTCAATAAAGAGATCAATATATATATCGTCAATTAGGACATCAAAAATAAGTAAAATTTTTGTTTAAAACTAGGTGTCAAATCTCAACGGTTTCCAAAATACAGAGATTTTTATGAATTTTTAATGAAATTTCTAATTGCCGCAGCAGCTTTTTGCTTATATAACTTCCCTTCCAAAAAAGATAAAAGGTTCACACAATTAGTTTTTCGAAGGGCTTGTATAAAAAACTTGAAAGCAATTCATATCACTTAATAATATATTTTATATACTCTCTAAATACATTTAAGACACGTTAAAATATATTTTATGGTACAGAAGATATATAGGAGAAGAACCGTTTTAATTGTATCCCGGAATTGAAATTTGGCACCTAGTTCTAAACAAAAATCTTAGCAATTTTTGATTTTGATCCTAAATAATGATATTTTTTATTGTACCCTTTATTGAATCACTCTTTATGTAATTTCATTAATTAAGATTTTTTTTAAGTAACATGCATTTTGACTATATGGAAACTTCAAGAAAACCTCTTGTAATGCTTTACATAATTTGAATATGAGTAACGACTATTTGCAGCGAAAGCTTTCGCTTAGAAATTTCTAGAATTATACAAGAAACTTTATCGACAATTCAATAACCACTAATTTTATGGCAAATATTTCTGGCCTTCCTAATTTATTAAACAAGAATTTTGATGTTGAATTGAAATCATTGCTAAATGATCTTCATAAACAAAATTTTGTATATATGTACATACATTATGTATACATACTTCAAAACAATAAATAAACAATAAATAAATAATTTCAATCAACACAAACCATCAATAAATGATTAAAGACATAATGTGATTTATTTTTAGAATAAATTTGAGCTCAAATACCTCATAGTTGATTTTCATTACATATACATTTCAACATGTTCACCAAAGACCTCCTACAATATAGCCTCAGAGACAGAATACCCATATATTGAATTTTATAAAATAACAAGAAAACTTTTATTTAAATATTCACAAAATAATTAATGATTTTCAAAATTAATGACTTAAAGATTTTTAATAAAAAAAATAATTTTAATTTACCAAAATATTAATTTTATTATATTTTCTATAATTAGGTACGAATGAATACAATACAAGGTTTTCAAATATTTTCTCCAATAGCTTTTATGATGTACCCTTGTAAAGCATTTAATTTTTGTAAAGAATGTGATACATGTGATGTATCACAAGGTACTGGTTATTTTGATAAATATAATTATGATGTTACATCATTTTATAGTAAAGATTATGTTGAAGGTATGTATATATACATATATACAAATTAATATAAAAATTTTTTCTAATTTTTTTTTTTTCTTCTTAATTTTTAGCTCGTAAAAAAATTGAAAATTTTGTACCAATAATACGAACTGATAACGATATTGAATTATTATTTAATCGAAATGATAAATCAACATCATCATCAACAATAATAACAACAACAACAACAACATCAACAACACCAATTATTAATAATGTTTTAGATATTTTTATACATTCTCAATTATCAATACATACATTACGTGGTATTGAACCAAATTTAAGATACGGTAATACAATTAGAAATTTTATTAAAAAACGTAATTCAATTAAAAATTTACCAAAATGCCCATATTCTAAATATTATAATAGTAATAGTAATTATAATAATAATGAAAATGAAAATGAAATAAATAATATTCCAAATAGTAATAGTAATATTAATAAAAATAGTAAATTATTAAATAATTACTATAATGAAAATAAATGTATTCATTTAGCAGCTAGAAAACATATTGGTGATGCTATTATAAGATATGAAGACAAAATTGGAAAAGGTAGACATTAGTATAAATTAAAATAGATTCAAAAAAAAAAAAAAAATTACAAAAATTTTAAATGCTCAACTATTACTGTAATAAAATTTACTATATGAGAAACCAATAGTATAATATATGTATGTATGTATGTATGTATATAGAAATAAGCCAAAATTTACAATATAGGTTACAATGAATAACCCCCCAAGATAAATAACATATTATATCAATTTAAAAATTTCATTCGAATTCATTCTTGAACTTTTTAAATATTCACTTAAAATATATATGTAGCAATATATCGTGAGGTTAATGCTACAACTAGATAACTTGCAATTAATGCGGTTTACAAATATTAACTTTTAAAGATACAAAATTTAGCAATAACAAGTAATTTATCATGAAGACACCTAATTTTTGTATTATCATTTTCAGATATTTAAGAATAAATTTAATCTTAGATATTGATCGCATATTAATTATCAGGTCGCAGGTTAATTATCTATAAAAATATAAAACTTTCGATTTATCTAGTCGTAGCATTAACCTCACGATATTAGGTATCGAATTGTTAATCATATAAAAATATCATTTGGCTTTAATTAAATTTCTTCATTAATTTTGTAATTATTTAATTTCTCCACCATTTCTTATTATTTAAAAAAATTTAATATTTTTTATGTAAATAAATCACTAATAATATTTAGAAGTATATTAGAAAAATCTTAAATTCAATGTTTTTCCATTGATTCCTAAATTTTTTAATGTAATTTATTTTGATTTAATAACTCTCATATACATTATGTAAAAATAAAATATTTTTTAATTTTAAATTAAGAATAATTATGATTTTAAAATTATATACTCTTTAATACATATATACATACATATATGTAATTAAAAGAACAACGAAATTTTTTTTTTGATTTCATTATATACGTATATATTTTCCTATTTTAATATTAAAATTTGCATTTTGGTACTCAACATTAAATATTATTATATAATATATAAATTAGGTTCATTTTTCATCTCTATTTTGTTCCTCTCTATAATAAATACCAATTTTAATTACATTTATATTAAATTTATTTTTAATTTTTTAAATAAAGTATAATTGCAAATGAATAATAATAAATTTAAACAAAATCAAAATTAATTAAACAAAAATTTAGTAATACATAGATATTTTAAAATATACCTAGTATTGTTATAAACAAAAAATTTTAAAATTCAAAAAAATTAATTGAAACTGTTTATCTGAAAATTCAATAAATTTAATTAAATACAAAAAATTTTTACTCTAAAAATATTAAATTGCGATGGTAACGCTATTGTATAATTCAAATAATATTTTAATGTTATAAAAATGATTTGCATATTTTTAGGCGAAAATTTTTTTGTTAAAGTACTCGTGACATTATTAAATACAATTTTATTATAGGAATTATCAATATAAAATTAAAATAGAAATTTATTATGAATGTAATCGATTAAACGATTGGAATCAAGTAAACCAATTAAAATACTAATATTAAATATTTAAATTAAATTTTTTTTAATTCAGACAATAATGTTTATATGTGTTTATTAGGAAATTATTTTCACTGCCCCTTTATTTTGTAAATCCCAATTAAATCGCTTTAAATACACGAAACCAATTCCGAAAATTACAACTAATTTAGATCTATTAATTGTCAAGTAATTTTCAAAATATTAATAAACATATTAATATTAATAAAAATATTAATATTAATAAACAAGTAATTTTCAAAATATTCATAATATTCGATACTAAAGACTAAGAAAAATAAACAGTAAAATATTAATAAACTGAAATATTTAATATAAATAAAAACTACGGTCGGCTAGTCACCTACCCAGTTAACTCTCTATGACTATAGAAACTAGGGCATGATAGATATCATGCACTAGCCCTATACTCCTTATAGGAGTGAAGAAGGATCAAAAAAAAAAAAAAATTGTCGGGTATAAAGTGAAAAGATTTCGCGGACCATCTTACTTTTCTGGCATAATATAAAATATACAATGTCCGGAGAAGAACTTTTTAAATTGAAAAAACTAAAATATCTACATTTAAAAATTGTAAATGAATAATAAAAGCATTTTTTTCTAATACTTATGTTGTAATATTTTTCAATTAAATTACTTGTTTTTTTTAATTCTTGTATATGACATGATGTATTACAAAAACTAAACCAGTGTAAATTGAATATTATTACAAAAATACATTTTTGTAAATTGTATACGTTATAATAATTTTAACCAGTTCTTAAGTTTCCAAAGTTTAAAAATATAATAATTAACTCTAGCATCTATATTTGCCATTTAAATTGTTTAACTTTAGTATATATACATAATTTTATTAGAATAGGTACAAGATTTTGCCATTAGTCATTATAAAATATTTTAATTTTTAATTAAAAAAAAAAACATTGTTTAAACAAAAAAATAATTAACTATTAAATATTTATTCACATGTATATGGTATTTTGTATTTATAAGTAAAAAAAAAAATGTGACACAAACATTTCGGAAATTGTAAAAAAGGAATAGAATGAAAATTTATAAATATTATTTTAAGTATAATTAATAAATTAAAAAAATTAGTATAATTTATAATGTACATAAATTGTATATGTATTCAAAGATAAATTATATATTCCATATCCAATTCCAATTCTCTGGCTTAAAGTGTATAAGAATATATTCAATAGTTAAACAACTTAACTGAGTCTACCATGATGTATAAATGTATAAAGGAATATTAAATTCAAGCAAAGTGGACTTCTAATATACCTACACCCCCTAATGATACATACAAACTAATAATACATCTCCGGTTGACTCCTCTAAAAATATCTTAAGTAAAATACCAAAATAAATTTTTTTTTAGAATCGGAAATTTGATTGATCACATAATTAATGACCACATAATTTGACTCATTCCAAAACCAGAAAGTTCCTTTGATTGTCTCTTATTTTAAATGTTTAATAATTTCATTTTTATAGAAAAATATTAACAAATAAATTTTCTCGCAAAATAAAATATATGATAAAATTTTCTAAAATCAAAAAATTTTAGTAAGGTTAACAATGCATAACTATCATTGCGAAAATTTGCTAACCTTATTGTGTTTTGTGTATAACTTGGAACTCAACGTATTATTAGTATTTTTATATTTTATTCAAAAATTCAAACCTTGAAAAAAAAAATTTATATTACAATTAAAATAATTTAAAATTAAGCTTTAAAATTTAATTTTAGTAATGTATTAAAAAATAAGAAAAACGAAAATAAAGTGCCAAAGTTTTCTAAAAACGAAATTATTATGTTTGAATTATTTTTTTTTTTATTTAATTTAAATTAAATTTAATAAAATTAATTCATTTAATTCATAAAATATATAAGATTAGATAGATAATTTAATTAAATTTTATGTTTAAATAAAAATTGAAATCTTCGAAAAAAAAAAATAATAGTTGTATAAAAGAATTAATTGAAAATATTTAAAATAAAATGAAAAAAAAATATATATATTTGTTTATTTTTGATAATATTGTACATATATTTTAAAAATAAATAATTAAATTGAAGAAAAATAATATTTTTTAATCTCATTTTTGCTTCCTGTATTAAATTTACGGAATATTCTGTTAGACTAAGTTTAAATTTGTATTATTAAAATTCTCAAATTAGTATTTGTATTCTTTCAAATACTACAGAGACTTTAGAAATTTTTGGAAATAGGGTTGCTAAAACGTTTCGACCTGTTTTATTTCCTGGAGTATAAAAAAAATATAATAACGCCTTTCAAAAAAAATGTAAGACCGATCAAAAAGACTAACTTTCAAATACAATGGTTCCATTCTATACATCAGACTTTAGGAGTACAATCAAATATCGATGTATAAATTTTAATTTATCTCTAATTCATTCCTAATAGAACGCTTTCTAATCGAAAATGCTGCAGTTTCCAGGAACAATGATATTTTAAATATTAATGTATGAAACTTAATCATCAATCATTTAACTAAAATATTACAATATATTTTTATTCATTTTAATGAATTTAATATTTTGGATTTTCCTTACTGTTTATTTTAATATAAAATAGACTAGATTTAAATTTGTTTTTATTATCAAAATTTTATTGCCGCATACCTTGTGCATTAATTCACATATTATAAAAATTTTTTTTTTAAACAGCTTTAAACAAGTTTGTATGTTCTTTACCCAATTTTGTTTTAAAGAAACATTATTTTTCAGCATCATGTATTAAAAAACTCAAATCAGATCCAGGCTCGTACTCTTGGGTATCGTGATTACTAAAATGAATATTATAAAATATTTGCCATATTAAAAGTTTATTATTTACAACAAAAACAAAATATATATTTTTAGTAAAAAATTATTAAATGAAGAGACCTTATTAACTTACGTTAAAAATAATTTAGCACTTTTATCTCCAACTAATTTAACGCAATCACCCTGAACTAATAAACTTGTACCTTCTCTTAATCCAATTACAACTCTGTTATTATAATCAATAAATTCATGAATTCTTTGATCTCTGCTTTCACCTTTATGAGTTGAAACCTCTTTTTCAATATAATGTGGATTAATATTAAATGGTACCAGATTCAAAGAATCAAAGGATGGTGGATAAACAACTGGCATGTCATTGGTAGTATGTATAGATCGAGTGGCGACATTTGTACCAGCGCTACTGCCCATATATGGTACACCAAATTCTAAAACACGTTTTCTAATTGAATTCACCAGATTCTTTTCGATAAGTGTTTTAAGAAGAACAAAAGTATTTCCACCACCAATAAAAATTGCTTCAGCATTATTAACTGCATCTACTGGATTTGAACTAGTATGAATACTATTTACATTATAACCCCATTTATTTAAAGGTTTCGAAACAGTTTTTGTATAGTCATCATGATCTCTTAAGGCATAAGGAATGAATAAAACTGTTTTTACATTATTTCTAAAAAGTTTTAATAAATATTATTACATAATCATTCAATTACTTAATCGAGTTAAATTTTGAAATTACTTTTGCAATAAATCATCTATTGCCTGTTTTGTATGTTCTAAAAAATCAAATCCATGAACTCTTGAAGAAGAAATAAGTAATAATTGTCGCTTTGCCATATTTTAAACAATTACTCAACGTCAGATAATCAATTACTAAAAAAAATTAATTTAAAAAAATTTTTGTATACGCAAAATAATAAAAGTTGTTTATCTATGCAACAAAATAAAACTGATAAAAAAGCATATGTGTGTACATTGTATATCGACTTGATTCAATTCCATTATACAATCTAAAAGTCTGACGTAGATTATTTGAAAAATATAAGAATTGCGAGAAATCGCAGACTTTCTCTGAAACACACAGGTTTAATGAATTCATGTACATATTTTTAATTTAATAATTCCCAATATAAGTAGCATCCAGTTTTTTAATTACACCTTAGGCTTTTAAGAAAATCTAAATTTAGATTAATTTCTTTTTAATATCTAGTTTAAAAAGTATCATAAGTAATCAATACGTTCATGCGTATTACATTTATTAAAGCTTATCAATTAACGGGATATTCCTTATATCTAAATCCTTTATCAACTGTCCTCTTTTTTTATATCTCCTGTCATTCCAGGAACCCTGTATAAAAACGTTCCATCGTAATCATAATAACAGTCTTTCACTTTATAAGTTGCGCCTCTCTTCCACAATTTGTTCGGTATGTGTATTCTTTCTTTAATGGGATCTACTTTATATTTTTGGATGTCACTATTGGAGATTGTTATCTCAGAAAAATCAAGTTTGTTTTTTGATGATGAAAAAGGATTGACTTTTGTTGCGTCGTCTAGAATTTTTTTTTCTTCAATTTTTTCCCCTAACTTGACAGGTAAACTTTCTTCTTTTTCAGACAATCCAATTTTACTTTTTAAAAAACTTAAAGTAATTGGCTTCTTATTTTCTATGTTTCCAAAAACAAATGTTTCATCGTCACCGTGATTTTGGGCAGCTTCAAAATTATTTACAGAAAGTAAATCTGTTTTGCCCGCCTCTATTTTTTTTTTATTTCCATTTTCTTCTATCAAGTTCTTTTCTTTATATCCTTTGCAGCTTGTTAATATACTCAAAAATTCATCGGTTTTTGGTTTCGGGATAACTGGACGTTTTGGCAACCATTTAGTTTCTATATTTTTTAAGTCACTAGGTTTACGTTCAACGAATTTTTTTAAATGGTCTGTTAATTCAGGTGGTAAATCGGGAAATTCTCCTTTACGAAACTTCTCCCAATTAGTCATTACTTTTTCATCATGTGTTTTTAAACGTTTTTCACTCCTTGGATACCAACGACCTTTCAAAATTTTAATTATAGTTTCATCGCTTGCAGGAAAACTTTCACATAACTTCTCAATATTCCATACATCGGGTTCCCGTTCGTGTAATAACCTTATTTGTTCCTTTTCAGCAAAAGTCAAGAAATTCGGATATTTTTCCTTGAAATACTTGTTTTTAACTATTTTTAATCGAATAAATTCTTTGTATGCTTTCATTTCTTCTGAATGTTCTTTATGCGTCTTATGAACATGCATAAAATCAGATTCAAAATTTCCAAAAGATTCAGGATCTTCTGAAATTTCTTCTTGTACATCATTCATTTCATTAAGAAACTTATTTACACCAGGATTAGGACCTTTCCTAACTGTTAGTGTACTTGTGGTAGAAAACTGTATCTTACTTATAAAAAGTCTTACTATTCGATTTACAAACATATTTTTATTTTTTGTAATATGTTTTAAAAAGCAAAATCAAAAAATTCGAGTTACAAGATATAAATAGTTTTTTTTTTGACTTACCACCACGTTCACCACAATTTAACAGTGGCTTTCAAACTAAAGAATACAAACCTATCATATTAAATTGACGGTGAATTTTATTCAGGTGACTTGTAACGTAATCGTACATCGTAACTAAAGAGTAATTGACACAATGAAAGTAATTGTTTACACTTATTTGTCGTGCACTTTGACTTTTCATACGGTACAAAGTATTGTATCAAATGTCAAAAGATTAGGATGTGGCAATTTATTACTTGAGACAATTTTAATGAAAATTATGGGATTTTTTAATTAAAAAATTAAACTAGAGTATTTTTCTGCTGCATTTGCATCAACTTGATTAAAATAGGGTTCTGTTTATTCTAACTTTTCTTTTAAAACTAATTCTATAAATAACGTATCAAACTGAATACAAACGTTATTTATTTGACTTACCGAAAATAATAAAAAAAAATAAAAATAAATAATCAATTTTTGGATGTGTATGACAGATACGTATCATTTCAAATTTATTACCAAATTTATTTTGTAATAAATTTTAATTTCAATTACATGCATACATATTTTATTATAACAAATACATACATATATTTAAAGAGGTTATGTATATTATAAGGTCTTTGCGAATCCAACTTAGTCTTTCATTTTGTACCATCGTCCATACTTTTGTCAAACATAAATTCTCCCAAACCATTACCACATCGTCGAATATTTGTTATCAATTCTCCTATTTCCTTTATAGCTTCGTATTGCTCCTTTAATAATTAAATAACAGAAATATAAATAAATTGTAATTATTTTTCATGATTTTAATTTGTCATTAAAATTTGGTTACCTTTATCATTTCTGAATCTAAAAAGTCTGCTAAATCTGCGTCATTTTCGGAAGAAGCCAAAGCATGCATTTCTAATAAACTCTAATAAAAAAAATTAATTAAAGTGTTTGTGCTTAATATCTAATGAATAAGTAAAAATATTTTACGATATAGTTGATACAACAGCACGCTAAATCGAGTATGTACATAAAGATGTACATCTCCTATAACTCTTAAACTATTTAAAAAAAAAAACTCTTCAAATATTTATCTTACATCAGTAACTTTCTTTTCCAAATCTAAGGCATATGTCATAGTTTTTTCTAAATTATCCCATTCAGAATTTTCCGGTTTGTTAATATTATCTAAAACAAGTTTTCCACCTCGTTTATTAAGGCTAAAAATTAAATTATTGTTATAAAAAATATATAAAATAAATACGTAAATTTAATTAATTTTGAAAATATTATAAATTTTATATATATACTAAGTCATGAATTTCATAGCATGATCCCTTTCTTCGTCAGATGCTTTTTTAAAATAATTATACATTCCTTTAAGTGCAACATCTGCTCTGTCATAATGAAACGCCTTCCATGAAGAAAAATAAAATTTTATTGAAATTGAAATCTTATTTAAAACAGATTAAAATTTTTAGTTTATAAAGACAACATTTATTTAAATGTAAGAATGTAAGGTCTTCTGTAAAATAAGTATATTAATAAAAAGATAACAGAAGTAAACAAGAAGTTTTTGTTTTCGCCCTGAAGATGTCGTGTTGTTCTCGTTCATTATGGAAAAAATCCGTTAAACAATGTTAAACAAAAACATCTTATTTTATCATTATAGAAATCACAAATCTCGCATACATCTTTCGCGACAACCAAGAACAAATTTCAATAAATTATAAATTCAACTTTAATAAATAAAATAGGTCTCAAATTTATTTATGGTACCACCGATTTTATTCTTCAAGTTATGCCACCTTCTTTAGTCAAGACTGTCTTTTACAAGAAATCCCTTTTATCCTTAAAGGGATACGAATGGAGTAGTTACGCAGGGAATAAAAGTAGCTTGATGAGAAGTTGGAACAAATCTCTAATATGTATATCCGACACACATAGACTCATAATATTATGTGCTACATATGTATGTACGTATATTCATAAATACAAATACAAAATGACATTAGCATTTTCTAAAGTTATGAAATTTTACAAATTAATAGGTCAATCAATTTTGTATATAGTATTTATGTAATAAATATATACATATACATACAAAATGTTTTCGCATTCTACAAACAATTTTAAAATAGGATAACATTCTTTCAAGTCGATTTTAAAATGAAAAATGTTCTCGATTACATCATTATGGATTTACGCCTGAATTTATGCAATTCTTTTTTTCCATTTTGAAAATAAAATTTAAAATTTATAGTTAAACAAAAAGTTATTTACCATTGATAAATAAATATAACTGGCTTCCAATTCCATATTTATTTGTTTATTTAAAGCACATTCTAATTTCTCAGAAAATCTGTGTCGTGTTAAACCGCTCATACTTCTTATAACTTTCCCAGTTATATTCAATCCTTGTCGAATCATTGACATCTTTTTTTTTTTTTAACTTTCTGATACAAAAATTTTTGTCAATTTATGTGTGTAAAATGTAATAGGAAAAAACCATTAAATCGAAACAAAAAGCAGAAAGAGGAACTAAAACTTGGTATATGTAGTTTCTTTAAGAGTATTTTTTTTTTATTTTCTTTTATTCAGTTTTCAAAATTTGAAGTTAAAAACTATTGCTTCTCCTTTTTTTTTATATTTATATGAATTAAATTGTTTTTCAATAGACTTTTAACAACAGTGAAGTCTCGTTATTCAAAATACATATTCTGAAATTTATGCAGGCGTATGTAGGTAATCATGTGATACAACTTGCAAGTATATGTATATCTATACACAAATCTCGTGGAACAGCCTATTTTTGTACACAATTCGTTGATTTTTATATATCGTAAATTCACGAATTGATTGACGCATCCTAAAAATTCTTGTTATATTTGGGCAATTTTAGGAAAAAATTCTTGAAATGATGTTTAAAAAACTCAAAAAAGTGCCCAGACCACATATATAGTTCCCTTGTAATTTAAATAAAGAAAGTAGGTTATACGTTTGTAAAATATGCCTGCAAAATATATTTATGTTCTGTTATAAATTTAACGAAGAATCGAAATTGAAAATTTTTTAGTTATTTTTTTGTTATATTTTTGGACTGTAAACATATAAAAAGTAGAAGCTTTGAGCAAAAAGCTTATTATCCTATTTTAAGAGATTGTGGGAAATATTTGAGAGCGTGTACTGTTCCAAAATATGTAAATAATATAAAAAAGGATAATATGTATATATAAAACTGTATACTTAGTTGATGAAATAGTTCGAATAGCAATATGTGCATAATATTTTTGTTGAGGTATCCTTATAAAAAATTGGCATTAGTAAATGCGCACAATCGTATTTTGACAAATTTTCATAGCAATAAAGAGATACCATATTTACGAGTATATATATGTAAATGATTGACAGATTTGAATCTTCTCAAATGGCTCAGCCGGATTACATCAACAAAAAGTATCTACGTAAATTGTTTAGGAAAAGTTAATGCAATTTTGTTAAAGAATAGGTTTTTTATATTTGCACTAACAATAAAGATATTTTTCACTCATGCTTCTCTGTCTATATTTTATAGTACAAGAAATAGTGATACGAATGTTGTGAACTGTCTCAATAGTAGAAAATGTGTTCTTGTTTTATGGCAACAATCATAATAACAACGTCATGATTTTGACACTATTCCATATGCTATGGTGAATTTGTGAATTCAATTCTATTCAACAGCTGATTTTTATTTTGATTGTTTTTCGTGTTTTTGACCATGTTTATTAAATATTGAAGATAAATGCTGCAGATTTAAGACTAGTGAGAAATATAAAGGAAGCGAAAGTATCAATCTACTTTAAAAAATAATAACTTCAATAAAAAACAGAAAAAAATTCATATTGTAAACATTTTAATCTGCAAATAAAATAAAAATATATTCCTTAAAATATGAAAAAAAAAAATTACTATAATGCTTATTAAAACGAAAGTAATTTAGAAAGAAGAAAAAAAATGTATAAATTTTTTATAGCTTTCACAATTATTTTTCCATTTGTATATTTTGTTAACTCAATTAATCACTGGGTATTGGATGAAAATGGAAAAATTACACAAAAGGTAAGTGGCGTTGAATATCGATATTAAATATACAAACATACATGTACACCTACCTATTTATATCATATCTTTTTTAGATTGATTCTCCATTTTATCTTCGAGAACCTAGTAATTTAATGGTTTTTCTAGATCAAATGAAACACAATGATATTGTAGAAAGTATTTATCTAGAATTGCTAAGAAAACGTGAAGAAATGGTAAAGGAAATAAATAATTCAATTAAATTTGGATTGGAAGTTATCGATGATGCAAAGTGTGCTTTAGATTACTATATTGAAGGTTCCTTAACACATGCAGTTATAACAAAATCTTATCTTAATAGAATACCTTTAAAAAAGAAATATGATATTGTAGTAGGAAACAGACTTCCACTTTGCGGACAAATTCCAATCAAATATTCTGGAATTTGTTGCTATGATCATATAGAAAGCATTAATAAATTTAATAATCTTCGTATATCAGAGGAAGTTGATCTATACAATGATGAATTAGAAATAAATACTATACAATTTCTTAGCAATCTAGTAACAGGATTAAGTGAAAATCCTACTTCTTGGAAGTATTATATTTTAAGTTCATATTATTGGCGTATGAAAGGAAATGCATCCGAAGCTATAGAATGTGCTAAGCGTTCAGTTATGTTAGCACCAAGAAAATTTCGTGACATTCCATTACTAAGCTTAGGTTCAATATTGTTTCGTGCTGAGAAACTTCATGAGGCAGAAATATTATTTAGAGCTGCAGTAGATCATGCTCCAGAAATAGCAGAAAATCATTTTGCTTTAGCAACAACTTTAGCAATGTTATCACAATTTAATCGTTCTTTAGAACATTTTGAAATGACTGAGCAATTAGATTTAACGTATTTGCCAAAAACACAATATTTGAAAAATTTTCTAAAATGCATTGAAAATTTAAATAAAAAAACTGCTGAAATGTATAAGTATGACAAAATTTAATTAGTTATCATTTTAAATTTAATATACATATATTGTATTGATTCATTATTTTTTAAGAAATGTGGAATACATAAAAGAACAAGTCAATGGACTGAAAGATATGAAAAATCAAATAACGGCAAGCCATGAGAAATTATTAGAGCAACAGGTATTTAATAAGAAAAATAACACTCGATTTATGTTTAATGGTTTCAATTTTCAGGTACCATTAAGTGTACGATTCAATAACGTTGAAAACTCAAATAAAAAAGAAGAATTGTTACATCGTGGTCAATTTTGTAGCACAAGTAAAAAATCTGGTAGTGAACCTATTGTTAGGTGTGATTTTTATTCTGATCTCCAAATGCGTTTGGAAAGTAAAAATGTTGACATCGAGACACTCGAAAGAGAAATTAATACTAATAGCGAGGAGATAATTAAAAAATTATCAATAGATTTTAGTTCACAATTGAATTTTGATAAAAATAAAAATAAAGGACAGAACACAAAATAAATTAGTATAAAATATGTAATATATTTAAAATTAACTACACAGAGAATTATTTTTATTATTTTTATAATACATTTATCTAATTATGGATTGAATAAAAGTAAATGAAGACTGGATTTGTTCAATTTTATTTTGTAACAGATATTTTTAAAATCTATAGGTATGTTTACACTGTTGTATTAATAGTTGACTAGGTTTCATTCCACTTGCTCAAAATTAATTTTGTTTATCGACAGAGGGAAATGGAATGTTAACCATTGATACATGGCTCGTTGTGTAAATACATCTAATGTATGAAATATATAATATATGCACCGTTGTTAATAATCGGTATTTACAACACAGCGTAACTGAAATCTTACATACCTTAGAAATTGTCTAACATTGGTAGTTTTGATCGAAAACAAGTTTTTAAAAGTTCAATTTATTAAAAAATTCCGCTGGGATGCGATATCAAAATACGAGTATATCAAAAACATTTCGATTTTTATATCTAACAAAAGATGGCAGAATAAAATGTTAGAATGATTTCTTTTGACATTTTTTTCTTGATAATTTCTTTTTGACAAAAAAAAAATCTGATTAAGACATAATTATTCTTTAATACTGAACAATTTTTTACATTAATGCAAAAATTTTTCATGAGTAAAATTACATTAGAAACCAAAAAACCATAAAAATGTTTTCCGAAATTTAGCACATAAAAATTTTTGATTCTTCTCACTAGATAACGCTACTATATTAAGTTAGTGAAAATATTTCGAGGCTACCATTTTTAATAATTTCAAAAGTCAAACTATAAATTTGACAATTGAAATGTTTGAATGTGTGTGAGCACTGCGATTTTTTTTTTATTTTTAAAAGTGAAAAGAAGACCAAATTGCGAAAGTATTAGTATTCGTATTCCAATTTGGCATAGAGTTATAAAAAAAAAATAATAAATTTCTCTACTGTTTTTTCAATTAGTTTTATGAAAAATTTAAATAAAATTTTAATATTATAAAATAATTTAGAAATAAAAAATTATATAGAATAAATGTGAAGATGTCAGGTGCTAGTGAATGTTTCTCCATTGGAAGTATTGTGGCTTGTAAAACATGTTTTAATGAAACAGTGGAAGGCGAAGTTTTAGCATTTGATCCAAATACAAAAATGTTAATTTTGAGTATCCTTTTCAAAAAAAGAAAAAAAAAAATTAATCTTTTCAAAATATAAATATTTTGATTATTTTTAATGAAATTTTTCAGGAGAAAAAAATTTTATAAATTTATTTTAGATTTAGATGAGGTTGCACCCAAAATATTTTACTACAGGAAAAAAAAAAATATATAAAGTAGAGCAGCAAGCACAATATAAATAAGTCTATTAGATTTGACATTTTAAAGAAGAATTACTATAACGAAAGAAATTATTTTAAAATGTTTCTTTATTTGTTGGCCATAAATTACAATAATATCATTTATTTTTTGGTTATACCTTAGATTTCATGGCATAAAACTGGCAAATTATTGAAAAAACATCAACAGAAAATATAACCTTCAATTATTATTATCCTAAAACAGTATAAAACTTATCAATTAACAATATATTTTACGATTATAATACCAAAACAAATTTTGATTTCTGTTTCTTAATACTTAAATCGTGATTATTCAATTTGATAAAATTTCTTCGTAACAATTATGAAAAAACAAATGAATTTTATATTAAAAATGAAAAAGACATTAGGATTTTTGGTGTTTACTTACCACGTCACGTAAATTCTAATTTAATATTAAAAACAAGAATACAATAATAAATTATTTTATTATTTAATTTTATAGGCAATTCAAGCATTATTTACTTTGAAAATGCAAGTTTTAATTTAAAAAAAGAATGAAATTTTCTTGAACTAAACAAAAGAAAAACTATATTATTATTGTTATTATGAATTTATTTTAACAATTCAAAATCGATGTACAAACTAATAACAATAACATGAAATGTAGATTAATTATACATATATACTTACAGTACCTACTAAATTTCAAAATATACTCATATTATAATTTATTTATATACTCATATAATAATTTTTGCGCTTTATATAATAAGGTTGCCTCAAATTCGTATGAATTACATATAAACTTCTTGTTTCCTATAAATTATGGTAATGAAATTGTTTCCTATAATACTGGTAATTAAAAATACAATTTTTCGGATACAATAAACTAAATGATTAGGATTAAATTTATAAATTTAATTGTTCAATTTCAATTGTTGGTAGTCTTAGAATAAATATGTAAATTAAAAAAATATGTATTAAATACGCTGTATGAATCCTACCTTATATACCAGCAGAATATCCTTAGGCATAATGACAAAAACTATCTATTTTATTTTGATTATATTTAGAAAGTTTATTTATTAAATATATTAATTTAAAAAAAGAGAAATTATTACAAATTTAAAGAAACACAAAATTTTCCTTAAGAATATTATTAAATATTTTCAAAAAAAAAAAATAGAATGTCGATCAAAAACAGCTGAAAAATTAAGCGATGTATCAATAATGAATTTACAATATTGTAGTGATGTTCAAGTACTAAAAGAAGCCAGCGGGGTTACGGAAACTCCGCAACCACTTAATTTACATCGGGTAAGTAAAAATAAATACATAAAACAATATTCTGTTAATCACATCACTTAACAACCCATCAATGTTATTTAGAAAATTTTGAGTTCTTCAAAATAAAATCAAATTTGAAATTTGAAATTTTGTACTGAAATCCAAAATACTTTTTAATAATAGGTATCAAATCAACACAAGTAATGCTCAAGTGATTAACAGAATATAGTTGATAATGTAAATAAATTATAATTTAATTAAATAATGTAATATTACATACATGTTTAACAAAAAACAAAAATTTTGATTATTTTCGTTTTCTAATTTTAATTTTTGGTTTTTCAATTCTATTTTAGCTCAAAACTCGATTACGTAATTCAGTTGATCAGCGTCATCGTTGGATTTTATCAAGAAATGCTGGTGTTAGTATTGAAGGACAAAATCTTTTTATGGCTATTGGTAAAACATTGGAAAATGTTGCATGGGATGGTCACAATATTATAGTGTTCAATGAAGTAACTATAACACCACCTTATAAAAAAGAAAATGTATCAACTGATGATCCAAACAAAATTAATGCTGTTAATTACGTTAAAAAATTGGTATGACATTCAATAGATTTGTTTTCAAATTTGTAGTATGTTAAAATTTTATATTAAATAGGTTTATTTTAAAAGTAAAGGTATTACAGTTTAGTTATTAATGATTATTACTTAAATTTTAACAAGTTACAAGCGATTTTAAGCAAAACTGAATACCATAAGGCTTATTCATAAAAGCTAAATTAAATTATTGTAAAATAACGCTTAAATTGAATCCAATTATTCGAATGATAAATAGAAATTGTTTCATATCAAAATAAGAATCAAATATTTGCTCACCACAATTAAAAATTTTGTAAAAAAATTTCATTGCTTAAATAACACTTTTTGGGTTTGGTTCATTATTGAGTTTCTTTTTACAGAATGATTTTAAATTGTTTATAATTTAACCACTGAAATGATTCAGAAAAATTCCTTTTGTTTATACAAATAGAAAATAATATTAGAATTAAGAAGGATTTTATGAATTAAAATTGACTCAAAATTTATACAAAATCAAATTTTTACCTTGAGTATTGTACAATATCAAAGAATTTCAACCACACATAGTTGAAGCTATATTACAATGAAGATATAGAATTACAATTTTTCCTCTAAATAAATTAATTTTATATGTCTATAAGACAATTTATATATTTTTCAATTTGGTTTCGTTTTAGATTGATCAAAATAATAAAGTTTCCCAAGGAAACAACGCCACAGATTCGTCGTTATCGTTGTCATCTTCATCGTCATTTTCGGGTTCATCAACAAGTAATGCGATAACATCATCGTCAACAAATGTAGGAAAATCTTCATCGCCCGTTCCTACCCATTAAAACAAACATTAAACATAAAAAATTCTTAATAAAAAAATTTAAACTCAATTTTTTTCTTTATTTTTTTTTTTCCTTATTTTACAAGCAAATCAAAATAATTGGACATCTTAATTAAAAATTTACAAGTTTTTATTAATGTATATTTATTTTCTTGAGACAAAAAAAAAAGAACTATGGTTGAGAAGAAACATTCTAAAAATTTCAGTTGTCACAATTAAAAAAAAAAAATAATAGAAAATAAATGAAAAAAATAAATAATTTGTATGAGATGAACTTTCATTTGTAAATCCCTTGTTCATCAGATATAAATGTTGTTAAAATCAGTTGCATTTAATAGTATAAAATTGAAAGGCAATAATATTTTAAAATTTTCTCCTCTTTAATATATCAGGTCTCCAATTAATTGGATGTGTTTCCTCTGTTGCTTCATCATCTTCTTTATAAATTTTTATAGTTTTATCCGCTTCTGTTGTAATCAATCTAGAACCAGACTGATCAAAAGTCATAGAGAATATACCTGCTTCACTATCCATAGAACCTGGTTGAACAGGGGCTTGAAATCTTTGAAAATTATATCCTGTTCTCCAATCCCAAAAGAACATTGTTCCATTGTCGCCACCAGAAACTAAAACTCCATCTGGATTGACAGCCATACAATTAATAATAGCATTATGACCCGATATATTTTGAATGAAATTTCCTTCGGGACATCTCCATTGTTTAATATTATCAGGTGAAGCTGATGCAAACATGTATAGAGTAGGATGTAAAACAATAGATCGAACACTTTTCTTATGGTTTGTTAGAGTACAGACACTTTTACCAGATGCTAAATCCCATAATCTTATTGTCGAATCATGACTACCTGTTATAATTTGAGGATTTGTTGCCTGGGCAACAACACTTGCCACTGTGTTCGTATGTCCAGTTAGGGTATGAATATTAGCTTTTGTTCGCATATCCCATATGCGAGCTGTTGAGTCTCGTCCAGATGTAGCTAATACATCAATTGTAGGATGTAAAGCTAATGAATATACTGCTGATAAATGACCATGATAATGTCTAATAACTTTGTTGTATTCTAAATCCCAACATTTAACTTGTCGATCTTCTCCGCAACTAAATAAGTATGGATGTTTCGCACTAACTGCTAAACCACGAACTGTGCTAACATGACCGGTTAATGACAACTTTAACTTGCCACTAGCTAAATCCCAAATTTTTATAACTCGATCAGCTGCACCTGTAGCAAACCATTCGTTTCCGGGTTCAACAGCAACACATCTTACCCAACCCAAATGACCTGTAATAGAAATTAAAATTACTTAAAACAAATAAAAATATTTTCGTGTTTTGTTACCTGAAATAACTCTTGACAGTTTCCAAGGTGGATGCCATTTGGGTTTTGGTATTGTAGGAGCTTTTTTCGGGATCAATTGAAGGTTTGTTGGCGCAATATTATTGCTGGCAGTTTGCAAAACTAATGCATTTTGATTTTGATTTAATTGGCTGTCTGATGATATTGCTGCTTTAACATTATTACTTTCTAAATTATTAATTGAGTCTGCTTGATCATCGTTGTCAGATATTTCCATTGTTTGCTCTGATTCAGCTAGTTGTTTTCGCATTTCCTTATTTTTGGCAACTTTATCAACTATCGCTCCGTAGCTATCTCTAGCTTTAACATTTTTCCAAAACTTTCTCCTAAAATACAAAAAGTAAAATTTTAAAAGCACAATATTTAGCTTAAAATAAATGATAATACAAATTATCGTCTATCTCAGGAACATGACCCTGGTTGTTGGAAACAAAAAGATCATGTGTCCTTTTCAAAGACCGAAATACGAGTGTGTGAACGCTATGTCTTTGAACTTCTTCCATATCAATGAATTAATAAAAAACACTAGAATTTTCAATTATTTCGAAACCATATATAAAATTTAAAAACCAATATGTATCCAATTTTAAACTACTGTAAACAAAATTGACGTTTCGTTTTAATTAAACTATGACTGAAATTGTTTGACACTGAGTAAAGTCAAACAAAATGTTCTGTTTTAATATTGTCAACGTATTCTGATATATGAAAAAAACAAAAATGCGTATTGCGTATTTTGCGTTATTAAAACGAACATTTTCCTTCAAATTAGGAATACACGACGAAAAGTGGTACAATAGAGAAGAAGAATAATATGTTAAAATTTTTAAGAAGTTTTTGCATTTATTTTCATTTTGCAGTGTTTTATGATATAATTATGTTAACGTGCCAAGGATTTCATAAGTATACCGGTCTTGAATTATCATAGTAGCTATGCTAAGTACAGTAAATTGCAAAATAGAAAATTAAAATTGTGGACTAACAATTTCATAATTCAAAACGAATAATAACAAATTTTGGAAATTTGTATAAATTCTAATACTAATACTTAATCCATACTGTACCGCTTAAATGTTTTCATTTTACACTTTAAATTTCATGATTTAGAAAGCTAAAGTAAATATATCTGTATATTGATTTATAAAATTAAGTTAATTATTTAATGAGTTAAAAAAAAATCAAAATAAGTTTTTTATTCTGGTTTTCTGTTCATATGTTACAGCTACGCTTCGATCCATCTTGACAATACAATATTTGCAATCGCTGTAAAACATCTGTTCACTGGTATAAGAAAACATACACAGTTAATTTGTTTATTGGGAAAAATTTTGACAATCGGCATTATCTGAAATCTAATAAATAAACAATAATGGTTTATGACGTGTTTTTGTTTTAATTTTTAAACGAAATTGTTTTGGAATGGCAAAAATATTAAAATGGTTTGCTATTTTACAAACCTTTAGCTGCATATCATCCTTTAGAAATCAATTTTATACAAAAGAAGACATTTTACGAAAGAGGTACTTGTTCTTATCGTGTAAGATACAAAAAAACTTAATTTAATTAAAATTTAGGGAAGAAGTTCGAAAAATTTTTCAACATGCCTATGATGGATATCTTAATTATGCAAGTGGTTATGACGAATTGGTGAAATGAATAAAATTTAAGTTAAATATTGAATATAATTTTTATAAGTTTTAGCGTCCTTTAACATGTGACGGTATAAACACTTGGGGCAGCTACTCTTTAACTTTAATTGATGCTCTAGATACTTTAGCTGTAATGGGAAATTTCACAGAGTTTCGAAGAGTAGTGCAATATTTGGTAGAAAATTCAAATTTCGATAGTGATATTAATGTTTCTGTTTTTGAAACAAACATAAGAGTAGTAGGTGGTTTGTTGAGTGCACATTTAATGTCTAGACGCGCTGGTGTTGATCTCGAACCAGGATGGCCATGCAATGGTCCATTACTGAGAATGGCGGAGGACGTTGCAAGGCGATTGCTGCCAGCTTTTGATACAAAAACTGGTATGCCTTATGGAACTGTTAATTTGCGTTATGGAGTGCCACCAGGTGAAACTCCAGTAACGTGCACAGCAGGAGTGGGAACATTTTTAGTGGAATTTGGAAGTTTAAGCCGATTAACCGGTGATCCTATTTATGAAGAAGTTGCTCTTAACGCAATTTATTCCTTGTGGAAATATCGTTCACCTATTGGATTATTCGGTAATCATATAGATGTTCAAACTGGTAGATGGACTGCACAAGATTCGGGAATTGGAGCCGGCGTAGACTCCTATTTCGAATATTTGGTAAAAGGAGCAATATTATTAAATAGATCCGATTTGTTAGAAATGTTTCATGAAAGTCGGCAGGCTATTGATAAATATATGAGAAAAGAAGATTGGTATGTGTGGGTTAGTATGACTAAGGCTCAAATAACACTACCAGTGTTTCAATCTCTAGAAGCATTTTGGCCTGGTATTTTATCAGCAATAGGAGATATTGAAGCCGCGACGAAAACTTTTGCGAAATATCATTCAGTTTGGAAACAATATGGATTTTTACCGGAATTTTATAATATTCCTAACTTAGAAGCAACTGCTAACAGGGAAAGCTATCCATTGCGGCCGGAGATTATTGAATCAGCAATGTTTCTATATAGAGCAACCAAAGATCAATACTACCTAGAATTTGGTGATGACATGCTTACAAGTATTCAACACAGTGCTAGAACTGAATGTGGTTATGCAACCGTACTCCAATATATTTTTAAGCTTGATTTGGTTTAAACTCATATCTCTATTTTTTTCAGATTAAAAATGTTCGGACCCATGAACGTGAAAATCGCATGGAATCATTTTTTCTTGCTGAAACTACAAAATACTTATATTTGTTATTTGACCCAGATAACTTTATACATAATGATGGGTCACAAGGAACTTGGTTTGAAACAACGAATGGTAACTGCATCATAGAAGGTGGAAATTATATATTTAATACAGAAGCTCATCCAATAGATCCATCAGCTCTTCGTTGTTGCCATGACGCTAAAAATTTCGATATATTTGAAGATTTTAATATTGATGATTATAAAGGGGAGCTCTTAGACATGAAAACCCGGAAACTCTTAATTGAGGAACGTGAAGAAATAAATAAGAAATTTGAGTGTCCGAAAATTGTTCCTAGAAACGCAAATATAACAGTTGATATAGAATTTGTTACAGAAGTTGAAGCGAATTTTTCTGATACTGAAAAATTATTATCGCAATTGACAAAGGAGCAAAGTAAAAAACAAATTGAAAAAATGCCTGAAGAACGCAAAGAATTTACGGAAAGAACTTGGAATGAATCTGAAAAGCAAAATATATATACGCATAACTCAGAAATTCAAAATGAAAAAAAGAATGACTCTTCTGATATAGCCAATATTTTAAAGTCTTTAATGAAAAAAGTTGTTTTAAAAAATAAAATTTTTAAGTCCAAAGAAACGTCCGATCGTGTAATCAATGAATACACGTCTTTTGATAACTTATATGAGCTATTTGTCACGAAAGAAAAAATAAACGTTTCGAAGAATTTACTCAACGAATTAGAAGTATATTATAGTAGTTTACCAAGAGACGAAAATACCATTGATGTTGGTAGTTTGTTTCAAATTGTTTGTGAAATTTTGGAACTAGCTAAAAACAATATAACAAAATATAATTTTGAAGGAAATAGTCATCACATGAAAATATTGAATATATTAAAAAAAGTTCAAAATAGATTTGAAGATGCAATAGATAATCCTGCTGAGATTTATTCATTTGTAATAAAATTTAGTAACGAAACAGGTGCAATTGCAAATGAAGAGCTAACATCAATCGAAATATTAAAAATATTACATTCCATTGAAAAGCTTTTAAAAAGTGTAGATGTAGTTCAAAATTTAGATAACGTAACATTGAAATATGAAATATTTGATAATTTTTTGAATTTGCCTTCTATAAAAGAAATTTCTGCAGAAAACAAAACTGAAAAATTTGAAGAATATGTTAAAAATTTGATAAGAGAGATAAATAATGTGGATTTTTTAACCGGTGGAAAGCAAAAAGATACTCTGCTGATTAATGATAGCAATACGCAAAATAAAGTGTTGGTTGAGAAATCCGAAAACGAAGAAAACAAAAAATCACAAGAATCTCTAGATGATAAATTTCAAAAGTCCCAAAACGATGACATTATTCTGGTAGAAAAAAGTTCAGTCATTGAAGAAACTGGTATTGGTTCAGTTGAACCGGTTTCAGTTGAAGAAGATTTTACACATTTGGAAAGTTCAAATGACGATCTTATAAAAAAACAAAACACCAAAATGAAAATTGTGTCTAAAGAAAAGATTAATGAAGAAATTATTAAAAAAATTGATGATAGTGATTTACGTTTACAAAGTCCAATTTTAAAACCATATGGTGTAGATTCTCCTATAGAAAGCCCATCAATGCTGACTGATTTTGTTCAATCTATATTAAAATCGACTATTCCAGTTACTCCCAAATTTGATCCACAAATACTACTTGAAAGAATAAGATCGAATGGAACCTATTTAAATTTTAAAAATAAATGGGAATTATTTTCATGTAAAGCGCCTAGTTTTTTACAAAAATTGTATGTTCATGGATTATTTTAAATTTAATTTAATTAATTGTGGAATGAAATGGAATGTAAATATAATTATATTATGTAATACTGATACATATAATTTAAAAGAACATTTAAACATCCCGTTATTAGATAGTTATGTTATTTTTAATTAAATAAAATAAAGTTTTCGAAATGTATAAAGAGTACTGTAATATATTTTAACTAATTTATTCTATAACATTATAATAACTTAAATATTTCAAATTTTTTTAAAATAATTTTTATTAGTTAATAATTTTAATCATACTGGCATTTTTTAACCGTTGTATACAAGATCTTTCAAAACTTTTCTTAATTTACATTTTGAGAGAAACTGGTTAAATTGACAAATTTCTTACATCAAGTACCTATTTAGAAATGTCATGTTATTCTTAATTGACACTTCATATCATTATTTTTAGAATCAATTTTATTACTCCTTACTTTCAATACAAAATATTTGTAATCAAAGAAAAATACTCAAAACTCAAGGTATGTACTTATTATTATAAATAAAATTTGGCTTTCGTTTATTCAAAAATAAAACGAGAAATATAATTCAAATATTGTTTACTTCGAATGAATTTATTTAAGAAGATTAAAGATGTTTATTTGTATTCAAGACGGCAAGTAAATTTCTTTAGTAATTATTCACGAATCAGTAGTTTTTAATATGTAATTGATTTATTTAAGTATATATCATGTTGTCTTAGAAGAAGCACATAATGTAAGTTAATATTAACTGCGCTAAAATATAATATTGATTAATTTCTGGTAAATTATAAAGTTATTTAAATTTTTGTATTTGCAAATTTCATAAGTATGTATCCATGTATTCCTACAAACACTTTAAATAGGTCCATTTTTTGTTTTTATTTTGAAGTATATGAGTAGGTAGGTACCATTTTCTAATACGGTTATTCAAACAGTTACTGATAATATTGGTAACTGTCCGATCGAACCACCTTCTATCGCTTAAATTTTTCAAATTGAAATTTTTGTCTTTTACAATACTAGGCAATTTTTTCCTTTGACTTGTAGGTAGAGAATATAAGTGTTCTTACTATTTATATAAAATTTAATGTTAACATATTATTTTCAGGTTTCATTACTTAAAAAATGAAAAACAGTCGAGTGTGGAACCATTTTAATATGGTCGATAAAAATAAGACTCAATGCATTCATTGTCGAAAGTATATTTCAAAGAATGGTGGAACATCTAATTTAAAAAAGCACTTGTCACGAAAACATCAAGAATATTGTATAGATTTGGATGTACGAAATCCTAAAAAAATGTAAAATATTTTAATTTTATATGTAATTAAAACATAAAAAATGTTTTGATTTTAAATTTTTTGAAATTCTTTTGTAGCTTTGACCATTATCAAATGCTTGAGGACTTGGCACTTGATCTAAATTTTGATGATGAGAAAATTAAACAATTTATATGTGTAATACAAATGAATTCAATTTTATATTCCAAAACAAATGAGAAAGAATTAACAGATTACGAGAAACAAAGTTGTAAAACGATTTGGGAAGAAATTGCAAATGAGTTTGAAATACACGAAAGTGATTGCCGAAGAATTTGGTCGATATTACACAAACAGTACTCCTCATATATTAGAACAAGAGATCCTGAAAAATGTAAATATATCAACGAATTAGCTTTTCTGGATGAATACTTACAAAGAAATCGAATTGAAAAAGTACCAATGAAAGATACTGAAACTTTATATAAAAATTACAATTTGCCTGGTGAATCCAAAAAAGTATTGATATCGGTACCAGATATTTCTGACACACCCATACATGAAATTAGTGTTAATAAAACAGAGTTACTGGATGATGATAATTCAGCAGAAGATTATGAAGTTTTATATGAAGAATTTGATCCAATATTAGTTAAAAATCAGACTTTAGATAATCCTGTGGAAGAGTGTAAAAATGAAACAATATTCCATGAGAAAAGTGAATGGAATAATTATAAGTCAAAGAGATATGTTTCAGAACGTAATCAACAATCTTATCAACGTCAAAAACATTTTAATCGTTATCAACATCAAGATGAAGGAAACAAAATTAACCAAAATTTGCCAAAAGATCGTTACAATCCAAATATTAAAACTGAAAATAAGAACCATAATTTATATAAAAATCGAAATATTTGTTCCTCACCTAAGCGTATGAAAAAATCTACAGATGATATGGACGAAATTGATTTTTTCTTTGAATTTTTACATCGTAAACTTAGAAAAATGTCTTCAGATTTATGTAGGCAATTACAAATGAAATTCATGGAAACTATTCAAGAAGCTGAACAACGAAGTCGTAAGCATACAGATCGAAGTGTTGACACGGCTGACCCTTTCGAATAATTAATTCAATAAGTTACTTTATGTTTGCATGGAAATTGAATCTTAATTAAACTTATAATTTTGATACAAAACGTCATATTTAGTAAGGATAGAGTGATTTACATCATTATTCCTTAAAAATATTGATACTGATATATTATTTAGATCTTAGAGTGTAATGTAGATCAATAAATTTTTTGTATGAAACAAAATTGAAATGTAATTATTTTTTTATTCTATTTTTATTTAAATTCTTGTTTAAATATTTACTTAAATTTTCCTATAAAAAATATGGAAAAAATTAAACGGTATAAAATTAAATTTATAACTGATTTACATATTTCTAGAGAATAAATTAAAAAACCAACTCTGAAATATTTATAACTTATATGCAATTCTAAACTTACCAAGTTTCCTTAAATTCCAAGCATCACAAAGAAAGGTTGATTCTAACATTTAAATACAAAAATAAAATAAATTAATAGAAGTCCAGGTGCTGATTGGAAAAATTTGTAAAATAATTCAAAATATTAAATTTAATTTATTAAATTTATTAATTACATATATTTTTATTCTTATTGATTTACTTTTATATTTATAATCCATAATTTGTGTTTATATATAAATTTAATATCTTCGTATTTTTGATGTAGAAAAACCTTCTGGCATTTGACAAACGGTAATTATTGGTGATATTATATTAGTAAGTATTGCTAAAGCTTCAGATTCAGTTAATAGACCAGATTTAGCCGGTATTTCAGCGAATTGTTGTGCGCTCAATGTTAAAAATCGAATTTTGTAAAGTGCTGGTTTTAAATCTTCAATATTTATTTGATTTGTTTCTGAGCCATCATCATCATCTGGTGTATATATATTTTGTTTTTCTTCATCTTTTATTTCAGAAATTTCATTTACAATTGGAGTAAAACCATTAGCGTATGCATAATTTTTAAATGCTATAAATAAATCAATTTCTGGTATCATCAATTTTTCCATTGATAATATTTCAATTAAAGTTGATAATTTTATTTCCATGAAATCCGGTGATGCAACAATTTCTGTTATTTTATTTGAAATATGTTGTGAACATTTATTTTCTAATGTTGGTTCATCAAATAATTTTGAAAATTCATATAATTTACAAACATTTTCTGAAGTTATATTTTGTAATAAATAACTAACACATTTTAGATTACAATGTGGAACAATATATTTTTTAGCGGCATAATATAATTCAAAAGCATTTTCAACTGAATCAATTCTCACTTTATCTGTATATATATAAACTAACATTGCGCTAAATGCATATGTTGTAATATCAGGTACTAATATAATATCTGAATTATCAGCTAAACTACCATAAAACATTCTTTCAAAAACTGGAGATGCCATTGCTAATAATAATTTATGTCCTGCAAAATTTTGTTGTTCTCCATCTTCTGGTCCAACCAAAAACTTACAATCTGACCTAAAAAAAAAAAAAAAATCGAAACAATATAACAATAAAAATATTTAGTAATATAAAAAATTTTAAATTACTTTATTTATTACTCTGAATTTGTCGAAAATTATTTATTAATATTACTTTTAAAGTGCTTAATTTTCAAAGTTTAAATGTTAATTTATTGGTTTATAATATTTAATAAGAAGAAAATATTTGCGAATTTGTTCTTTTACTAAATTTTAACAGTAATTAGTCATTAATTTTTTTTTAAATTAAAACCGCGATTAGATAACCTCAAAATAATTTTATTTATAATTTTATCGTATTGAATAATTGGGTGATTCATGGAAAGTGACATAAGTCTAAAGTAGTCAAAAATTCGGTTAACTAGTTACTTGATTTATAAAATATTTATTTTCCTGTCCTACAACATAAGTTTCTATTCCAACTATATACGTTAGGATTTAAGTTACTTTCAAAACAAACCATCCAATTACAACAATGATTTTAATTAAAATTTAAATAAAAATTACTTTTTATGTATGTATACGGAAATATTTAATTGATTCGATAACATTATTAATTTTACAAGTACATACTATTTATTAATTTTTAGTAAAATTTGACAAATTCAAATAAAAATAAAAGAATTTTAACAATAAATCCATTTACTAACTTTATTAATACAATATTAATAAAATAATATTATATAGGTACCATTGTTCGGTGCTTAAAATAACTTTTCCTCTTAATCTAATTTCTGTACAAGCTGTTTGCCAATCTTTAGCTGTAGTTCCCATAATTTACATGATAAAATAAAATCAAATATTTAATATAAAATTAATTAAAATATTTACATGTTGTTATATGTAAAATTAACAATGAACTGATAATTAATTTTTAATTCTAAAATTTGGCTAGTATATATTGGGGATATCTAATAAAATATCTTATCACTTGTTATTCTAATTATAATAAATTTTATTTGATAAATTTCACTTTTATCTGGAAATATTATTTATAGTAGAAGAATGAATTAATGGAATCAGAGTTGAATTAAGGTGTAACTGACACCCAGGAAATACAAAACTTTTTTAATGAATTTATGCTAGCTGTTATATAGTTTTTGATTTTAGAAGTGATTAATTTTTTTTTAAGTATGCTAGTATTTTATTAATATACATACTTATATATTATTATTTTTTTTATAATCTTATAATGGGCCCTTAAAAGTTTTTATTATTTTTTCTTATCTTCTAATATATTTGAAGTGTTATAGAAATTCTATATTTCGGCATTTAAAAAAATTCGTATACACATTCAATTTTTCTATAAGCTATACGAGTTTAATACTCTTACAAATACCAGGGAAGTGCTTCAGGTCAATATTTGAGAAAATTAAGTTTTATTTTAAGGAAAATATAAACAATTACACTTCGTCTGCTTACTATTTATTCTGTAATCCAAGTAATAATTTATAAATTTAATTACAAAAATTAACAAAAGTTAGTATTCCCTAAAAAGAAATTACAATTTAAAAAAAACTCTTTGGGACTAAACTAGAATTTTTATTTGAAAATAAAGCATTCAATACTTTTCTAAATAATTGAAGATAAATAAATTAAAGTTAAAAAAATTCAAATTTTTTAGAGAAAATTAAATAAGAATTCAAAAATATCTTTATGAGATAAATTTTTATAGTATTTTACACATAAATTTCCAATTACTATAATATGTACATTAATTTTTAAGTTCTATAAAGCAATCTTTTATAAAATATAAATATAATGCATTTCTTAGAATTAAAATTACTTTCACAATTAAATCAAATATTTTCTATGTACAATAGTTTATAACATTTATATTTTATCCGAATCAATTAAAAAATGTACGTTCTATGAATGATTGTGCATATCTTCGATCTCTTGATGTAGAAAAACCTTCCGGCATAATACATACTTTATTTGAAGATAATACAATATTTATTAGTATTGCTAATGCTTCAGATTCACTTAAAAGACTAGATTTTGCTACTATTTCAACAAATTGTTCTTTAGTAAAGGTTAAAAATCTAATTTGACGTATAGCATATTTTAAATCTTCAATATTTCTTATAGTTTTTTGAATTGTAATACCATCCGGCTCATATATTTCACCTTCTTGAGCATTTTGCATTTGATTTTCTTTATTATTGTATTCATTTAATTCAACAAGATAATCATTAACATATACGTAATTTCTTAATGCTATAAATAATTCAACTTCTGATATCATTAAATTATCCATACTTAATATTTCTCTTAATGTTGATAATTTTATTTCCATGAAACTCGGATTCGATATAACTTCTTTAATTAAAGTTGGAAAAATTTCTTTACATTGCCTTTTTAAAAATGCTTCATCATTTATTTCTGCAAATTCATATGCTTTGCATATATTTTCTGCATTTAAATTTTGTGATAAATAAGATCTACATGCCAAAACAGCTGTTGGTAGAACATATTTTACCGTTACACTATACAGTTCGCATGCATTTTCAAATGATCCAATTCTTAATGTACCTGTATATATAAAATTTAACATTGCACTAAATGCACGTGGTGTTACTTCAGGTTCTAGTATGACATCAGAATTATCAGCTGTACTTCCATAAAATAACCGTTGAAAAACTGGAGATGCTTTTGCTAATAATAATTTATTTACAGAAAACATTTGTTGTTCACTATCTTTACGCCCAACTAGAAATTTACGCCTAAATTGAAATAAAAAAATGAAATTGAAATAACTTTAATATAATGAATTCCTAGAAATATTTTAAAATTTAATTATTTTTTTTTTGGAAATTAATTAATTTTGCATGTAAGCATTAAGTTTCATAAATAATACAGCAAGTGTCATGAATATACTTTGAATTTCTGTTAAATTAATTATTTTTGCCTATTATTTGTATGAGGTTATTTTAAATGAAATTGGACAAATTTTTTTTAATAAAGCTATTGTATATATTTTTTTTTCGATTTGAATAAAATTGAATTTCTATAAAAAACATACAAAACATTCTTATTTTTAACAATGGCTATATGTACGAATATTTATCGATTTGATAAGATTACTTTCATCGATACTAAAAATATTCCGTAATTTCAAATAAATAAAATATTTTTTTGCATGAATTAGTTTTAGATTTCATAACCAAAATGGAATTATTGGTGATCGTTTTTTCTATATTATGAAAATAAAACATGTATAATGAGCTCTTATTTAAAGTATGTTATATGCGTACATTAAATCTAAAATAAAATTAATTATAGAAATTCACATAAAAACCTTTTGCCGCGGATAAAAATGACACCTATGCATAATATCATGTATACATTTCATTTGAAAGTGTAAGTATATATACTAAAATTAATAAATAAAGATATTTTTATATTAAAATATTACCAGGGTTCGTCTGGTAAAATTTGATTTTCCAATGAATCATCCATATTTAATTAAATGAACTATAAAATAGTGTTAAGCACAATATAATTTAAAAAAAAACTGCAGGGATTTACAGGAACTTGGAGAGTACTTAGCGTTCACAATCGACCAATAACTTTGCAATACTAACAATTAATTTTTAATTTCATTAATGATTAACAATCAAATTATTTATACTCGTTACGTTATCAATGTTATTTTAGAATCAAAAAAAAATTTATTTGATAAATTTTCTTATCGGGAAAATTCTATATCAACAAAGTTCTATTGAATTTGCAATTATACACTGAACAGAGTATTGACCGGGTAAAATATTGTCTAAGAGTCCTTTAAAAAAATTTTTTTTTAAATTATATTAGTAAAACCTTATTTCATTTTCATGAAATATTAATTAAGAAGCTAATAATAAATTTCTTTAAATTATAGATCTTTTAATTATGTTACTATCATAAATTTATAAAATATAATCTTTATATCATTTTAATAAATATACTTTTCATCGACAACAACATTTCATTATTATTGATTATTATTTAAGTAATTTAAATTTATTAGTTTAACGCAGTTTGCAAAATAAGATTTACATAAAGTACTTAATATCTTAAATTACAAGAATTAGTTGATTTTTTTTTAAAAACACATATATTCATACAAAATAGTTATAATAGAAAATTAATTTTATTTCAATTTGGTAAATTTGAAAATAAACGTTGTATTAATGAAGGTGAATATCTTGGATTTTTAGATACAGAAAAACCACCTGGCATTCTACAGATTGTATTTGATGATGATATAATATTAATTAATATTGCTAATGCATTAGATTCGCTCAAAAGACCAGATTTGGCAACTATTTCAACAAATTCTTTTGCACTAAAAGTTAAAAATCTAATTTGACGTATAGCATATTTTAAATCTTCAATATTTCTTTGAGTATTTTGAACTGCAACATCGTCTGATTGATTTATTTCAACTTCTTGAGTATTTTGCAATTGATCCTGCTTTTTATTATTTTCATTTAATTCAACAAGATAATCATTAACATATACGTAATTTCTTAATGCTATGAATAATTCAACTTCTGATATCATTAAATTATCCATACTTAATATTTCTCTTAATGTTGATAATTTTATTTCCATGAAATTCGGATGTATTATAATTTCTTTAATCAATTTTGGAAACATGTCCTTACAATCTCTTCTCAGAAATGACTGCCGATATAAATCAGCAAATTCATATATTTTGCAAATATTTTCTGCATTTAAATTTTCAAATAAATAAAATTTGCACGCGTCCATAAAAGTTCCTACATGAAATTTAATAGCTACTATATATTGTTCAAATGCATCTTCAATCGATTTAATATTTAATGTATCTGTATATATAAAGTTAACCATTGCACTAAAAGCACGTGGTGTTACATCAGGTACAAGTATAACATCAGATTTATCAGCTGTGCTTCCGTAGAACAATCGCTGAAATAGTGGAGATGCTTCTGCCAACAGTAGTTTATTTAATGAGAAACTTGCTTGTTCACCTTCTGAGCCAACTAGAAATTCTCGACTTAAAGAAAAAGAAAAATTAAATATAATTATGTGAATAAATAATTTTTTATAATTTAATAAATTTATTTAATTAAATCTAATCAAATTTTCCGACTTCTTAGGTTAAATTATGATGAATCTTGATGAATCTTTTTATATATTTAAAATTCTTCAGAACTTCTAAATGTCGATGCTGAAAAATTGCAATTTTTTGGAATGTTGCAAAAAACGTTCTTATTAAAGTTATTTGTTTTATATTTTTTTGAAAATAGTAAAAATATGCAAAGTTTTGATAGGTTATTTGATTATAATCAAGTATTTTAATTATTAAAATTCTAATAAATAAATATCCTCTAATAAATTCTAATAAATTTATATCCTCAATATAAACAGTAATAACAACGAAAACACTAAATTAATTTAATTTACATGATAAGATTACATTCTTGATTCTTCGGTAATCTTAAATCAAAAATCCAAATTAACAAAATGAGTCATTGACAAATTTGAATTTTCTAAAAAAATCTTTGTTTAAATGACGATTAAGCACTGAAGAACTTTTTATTCGAAGGCGAAGTAGTGGTTTCCTTGATAATATTCTGGATAGGAGCTTGTATCTTTAATGAAAGGTACTTAAACTCTAGCGTTTTTCTTTTAAAATGCCGAATTACAATACAAGTTTAAGAAAGTAAGAATGATTAAGATTTTATTAAAATTTTAAATAAATTTCACTTTAAACTTTGCAACTGTGATAAATTAATTAATTTAATCAATAAAGTTAGGTATGTGTGTATGTATTAGAAAATATTCTAGAAAATAAATAAATGAATGCTGTATATATTTCCATTCGAATACTGATTTTATTTTAGTAAATTATTTTATAAATGCATTTTTAAAAACAGTTTAGCTAAAATTTGCAAAAAACATTCTACGAAACAATTTATAAACTGCCGCAATTATAAAGGAATCCAAAAGGAATTTAAAGTGCTTATGTACACACACCTACGTACCTTAGTACAAGGATATCAAAAGACCCTTAATGTTTTAAAGCGAAAACATTCATATGCAAAATTTTCTGAAGTATACTAAATGTTTTAAAATAAATAACTTTTAATTTAAAGTAGCTACGCACATTATACACATATGTAAATACAATACATATATGAAAGTACATAGGAATTCCAAAATAAAAAATAAAAATTAAGTGCATATGTACTTCGATTAAAAATTAATATTTCAAATATTACCAGAGTCCATTTGATGAAGTCTGATCTTCTGATGATTCATCCATTTTTTATAAAAAATAAATTGCGTGTGCACGGCGTTTACAATCAACCAACAACTTTGCAATACTAAATTTCGCCAGTGATTAACCATCAATTAAAATATTTATACTTACTACGTTATCAACGTTATTTTAGAATCAAATAAATTTATTTGATAAATGTTATCAGGAAATTCATAAAATTTTGTTGAATTTGCTAAAATGTTATTTAATACAGCGTTTAAATTCTTCTATTTTTATTGAAAATTATATTATAATTTCACATTTTATGAAATTTGACAAGCAAAAGTTCTTCAAATAAAAAAAAGGTTACTAAACCAGTGCTATAATAATCGTTTACAAATTTTCGTCACTTGATTGTTATAGCACTCTTACAAGATTATTATAGCACTCTTACAATAACCTTAATAAATATTTAAAATTTTTTAAATCATAAAACTGATTACATATGTAATTACAGATAATTTTGTTGTTTGTACATATGTATGCATTAAAACATAATTTTTTTTTAATTTAATATTATAATTAATTTAAATGTAAAATACAATTAATTTATTATCTTCTGTTTGCTTTATTTCAAATCAATTGAAAAGTTTACGTCTTATTAACCAAGGTACATGATCCAAATCTACATAATTTAGGGGGTGCGTATATCTTCGGAACTTGGATGTAGTAAAACCATCTGGCATTGGACATACTTTGTTTAATGGTAGCACAATATTAAGAAGTATTGCTAATGCTTCAGATTCACTTAATATACCAGATTTTATTACTACTTCAACAAATTGCTCTTTAGTGAACAATAAAAATCTAATTTTACGTATAGCATGTTTCAAATCTCCAATATTTCTTTGAGAATTTTGAACTGTAATATCATCTGGCTGATATATTTCTCCTTCTTGAGTATTTTGAAATCGAATTTTTTTCTTGTTATTTTCACTTAATTCTGTAAGGTAACCATTTACAATTATGTAATTTCTTAATCCCATGAATAATTCAATTTCTGATATCATCAAATTATCCATACTTAATATTTCTCTTAATGTTGATAATTTTATATCCATGAAACTCGGATCTGTTATAATTCCTTTTATTAAACTTGGAAACATTTCTATACATTTATTTTTTAAAATTGGATCGTTGTGTAATTTTGAAAATTCATATGCTTTACAAATATTTTTTGCATTTAAACTTTGTAATAAATAGCAACTGCACTCGAAAAGAGCTTCTGGTAAAACATATTTGTTAGCAACAGAATATAGCTCACAAGCATTTTCAAATGATCCAATTTTTACTGTATTTGTATATATATAATCTAGCATTGCACTGAAAGCATATGGTGTAATATCAGGTATTAATATCACTTCGGAATCATCTATTGAATTTCCATAGAGCAAACGTCTAAAAATTGGAGATGCGCTTGCTAATATCGGCTTATCTACCGAAAAACTTTGTTGTTCACTGCCTTCAGCTCCAACTAAAAATTTGCATCTACAAAAAAAGAGAAATTGAATATGTTTAATAGATATATATTTTTTTATAAATAAATATTTCACTGCAGTCGGTTCAACTGAACTGATGAAATTTGCAAAAAGAAAACTGTAAATAAAATATTTTTTTTTAAAAAAAAGTCTACTGTCGAAAGGCAGTAAAAATAACAATATTTATTTCAGTTTATATAAATAGAAGTAAAATTTGATATATGAAGATATGTGTAGTTTGCAAATTTACAAGAAAATTATTATAAAATTCTTAAGCAATAAATTATAACAACATTTAATTGTCATTTATTTGTACATAGTATAATTAAATATAAGATAAAGCAATCGAAAACATTATAGAAATAACTTTTACTTTCGAGTACAATAATAAAAATGCAGATACAAAATAACAAAAAATATTCTTAGAATAGTATGTACTTTTAACAATGTCTGAGAATGTTTTTATTGGTTTGATAAGATTGTATTATTTTATAAGCCCCCTAACACAAGAATTTCCCTGAATTCATATAAATTGATGTGTCATAATTAAATTTGAATTTCGTAATAAAAATGCCCCTTTCCTGTTGTAATTTAAATTTTCTATTACGAAATAGTAATACATATATGTATAAGTATCTTTTTTTATATGAAAATAAGATTTACGAAATATTGAATTAGATTGGTTGAAGAAATTCACATTACAACATTTCGTTCTAAACACTATTGATCTCTTTTAATTAAGATTACATCTACTTAATAATAATAAAATTAAATTAAAATTTTAAAATATTACCGTGGTGAATTTGGTGAAGTTGATTTTGAATATGAAATATCCATAATTTATTAATAAAATTTAAAAATTGTATAACTATTGAAAGTATATTATAAACAAGAAAATTAAATAAAATAAAACTGAACTGGGTGTATTTTGGTTTATAATCGACCAATAACTTTGCAAGACTAATAATTAATTTTTAATTTCGTCAATGAATAACAATTAATCAAAATATTTATACCTTACGTTATCAACGTTATTTTAGAATCAAATAAATTTCTAGATAATTTTCTTATCAAGAAATTTTGCAAAATTATATTCCCCCACATATACAGAATAATAATATTGACCTATATATGTGCATACATTAGTTTAATTTATCGTTTAAGAAAGTTTTAAATGAGTTAACAATAAAAATTTCGGTAATAATTACTTTAATATGGACATATATATATATATATATATATATATATATATTATGTAGATTTTAATAACCATCTTGTCGGAAATCATTATGAAATTTGTTAATGAATCATATGCAATTTAAATACCATAATATATATATATATATATATATTATGTAGATTTTAATAACCGTCTTGTCGGAAATCATTATGAAATTTGTTAATGAATCATATGCAATTTAAATACCATTAACGATTAAGTATTATTACTTTTTTAGAAAAATTAGTTCAAATAGTACGTAAGTTCTTAAATAGCTACTCTTGAATAACTCGTGAAATCTTTAATCATATGTTACTATTTTTATTTAAGTTACTTAGGCATTGACACGATTTGCCTGAAAAGATAATTGTTTTCTAAGTTAAGATATATTTTTATTTTGAATAATTATAAAAAGTCTAATAAACAAACTAGAACTAAACAATAAGATGATAATAAACAATAAAGAAACTAAATATTGAACAATTTTGATTTTGAAAATGTGCAAAAAGTGCAATAATATTTACCATAAATAAGTTATTTATATTTGTATACCTACTTACAATTTTAAATTGGTTCAAAATATAATAGTAGTACCCATTTTATAAAATTCAAAATTATTCAAATTGCGGAAATTATGGACTTACTGGAATTATGCTATTTTTTTATTTTTTATTTTTATTTTTTTTCTATACCCTCTATATCGTAAAATCTATGAATTAATTAAAAAGGTAACATAATTACAATTTTTACATTATATACAAATTGTTTAATTTTTTGTGGTTTTATAGAATGCATATCGCGTAGTTAAATAAAATCAAAAAATTTTTTTATACAATTAGAGCAGTAAAAATATAAATAATTATATAAAAATAATTCGACTTTAAAATAAATTTTTTTTAATTTCATTCTTGCATATGAGGCTATTTAAATGACCATAAGCTAAAATTTTTTGATGCATTAAATTTTTCTTAAGTATATGCGAGAAAATCGTTTTGTATTTATTTCATTAAAATTAAATCTCACAACTTAAAATTAAATAATGTAATGAAAATTTATTGGAATGGAAAGATTTTTGATTATATTATAAAAAGACTTATACAATGATTAAATAATTTTGGAATTAAACAAAATTGTAATATTAAGTTAGATAATAAAAATATTAGATATTACACAAATTTTATTCAGCTACTAAAAATGTACATATGTATATAAATGTAGATCTAAAATATATAAAGCTATACAAATTCTAGTTAGCCCCGTGTAATGTACATTAAACAAAATAACAGTATTTTTTGTAGTTGATTAACAATCTATTATATTATTGAACAATCTATTGTAAATTTTAATTTAAATTATTCATAAAATTTCTATTAATAATTGAAGAATAGTTGAAGTAAATAGTTGATTAGAAAAATAAGTTTTGAAAAATTCCAAAAAAAGTGAAGATAGAATTTTTAAATTACAATCTATATTATATATAATTCTATTATATATTGTAATATTAATAATTTCCTACATTGTAAAGTGCTTTTGGTGCTTTTCAACTAAAAATCACACAAAAAACAGTTAAGTAGATGAATCATGAATAGTAATTAACAATCCTAAAATAAATAAAATTATAATTAGTATTTATATAGTATTAGATAATTAAATAAATTACCTATCCTGTAGTAGGCATGCAATTTCGAAATGTTTTGTTCGCTTCGGTTTGTATTTATTTCTACCTCTATTGAATATTTAGATATTTTATAGTAACTTCATCCAACGCTGCATTCTCTCTATATTTTGCTAAAAAGAAATTCTAAAAAATGAATGAATCAGAAAGAATAAATTTTGAATGAATTTTTAAAGTTTATCACCTGCTAATGTTACACCGTTTTCTTGACAAAAACTGTGGGTCGTTTTAAAGTGTTTCTTTTCTTCATCTTTATTACAATTTTACCTTTTATTCTTCTTTTATTCATAATTTTTTGTCTTTTGCCTTATATTTTTGGAATAAAGACGTCAATAATCACACAGTATATAGAAAAAGACAAAATTTTTTAACTTGTATGCATTTATGTTGGCGTTTTTCAACGGAAATGCCAAATCAATTTTTTTTTATTCCAATTCTCCGTCTTTATTTATTTGAAATGCCTTTATTAGTAATTGACTTACTGTTAAATAAATGGTTATTGTTTTAAATTTTATACCATTAAAAATAAAAATTAATGTTAATAATATTTTGTATTTCTTGCATATACATACATATGTAATTAAAAAAGGGAAAGAGATTTCTAATTAGGGAAGGAAATTATTCAAATTTTAATCAAAGTAATTCGATTCGTATTTTCAAGGTTGAAATTAACAAATTTTATTCCTTATTCTTATTTTGTTATATGCAAACATAAAGAATATTATTAATTCTGTTTTGGTTTTTCTTGGTTGACATTTGACTATTAGTTTCAGAAAGTCTGTTTACAAAACTTTTACAAAATATTAATTCAAGATAAAAATATGAAATTTTGTGGACAAATAAGTATATAAATGAAGGTATTATTTCTCCACAATAAAAAATTTTTTCCCAACCTGCCTTTGCTTCAAGTTATAGGTCCGTGAAAATTCAAATTTTCTATCAGCCGTTTACATTTTCAAAAGTCATTCTTGTGAATTCTCTACGAACTAAGAAAACTATAAAGACAAATTTCTGGTGGACAAATTGATTTTTCAAGTTAGCCATTTTTTAAGTCTGTCTTCCGACTTTATCGTCGATTTTTGTAAATTTGAAAGAATTGGTTTTCCTGTAACAAAACTTTGACGATTTTAAAATTTTAAAATTTCTTTTGATTTTTCTTCCACTTCGGAGTTAATCAAATATTGGTTTCTGAATTTTTTCGAAATGTGAACTTCTATAAATGCTAAAATGTAAAAGCAATCATCTTAAATTAGTAATATGATTAAATTAAATTAGTAATCTTGGTGTTAGTATCACTTTTTTTTGAAAATAATCCCATTAAAGTTGATAAATGCTACTATTTATATCTTCTTTGTAATTTAAAACTTATTTTTATGCTAAATCATTTCTCATTTGATTGTGACCAATAAGAGCTTTATAATAATTATAAATAAATTATTTTTAATATTGCTTTACATGAAACATAAATCATTTGTTCGTTCTTCATTATTATTATTCATATTGAGATACATAATTGGAAAAATTCTTGTTTTCTGCATATAAAATTTTCTCACCATTCATCATTCTTCTTTGCAAATTTTTTTTGAATTAAGTATTCATAGTTATTGCATCGTCATAAGGTACAACATTATATGTATATATTCTTGATTATCTCAAATAGTTTAAGTATTGACATTAATTGCTATTATAATGACATGAGCTCTCCATTAATCCCATCAGTCGATTTTCATGTTGATAGAAACATGGCTACAGCATCATTCATTCCTGGATTTTCTGGACATAAACTCTGCAAATATTAAATCACAAATGACATAAAAGAAGAACTTTTTGGCAAGTAAATATTGTAAGTGAATCTTATACATAAACAAAAACCTTGATAATTTTATTTTATTGTGTTAATAATTGTTAAATTAAATCAATTTTCCTAAATTTTATTATACAATAATTTTACAAAATGAATTAAATATAATAATTAATGTTGAATTAAATGAATTAAATAATAATCTGCTGTGCTCATATTACTATTGTTATAATAAAAGAAATGAAATTAAAGGAAAAAAAATTTTTTACTTTTTATTTTTTAATGAATACTTCAGTGCTAACTTATTTTGAGTGAAAATGAAAAAAAAAATATTGTTTTTCAAAATTCAATTTAATTATTTATCTCTTAAATTATAGTAATTTATTAGTTATGCAAATATTAAATAGCGCAACGGTAGGGTTTTAATGATAGATGTCCAACTGAGAATTGAAATTTCGATATAAAACATGACCGTTAAAAATTGAAACCACACAATTCGAAAACACTAGATTTAGATATTATATTTAAAAAATGTGTAATAATACACGTACATAACAAAAAATTAATTATGATAATTATAAAATTATTATTGTAAGCCTGAAAAAATTGAAATATAATGCGTAAAAGAAATTTCCAAATATATACATGCATTGTACTAATTGAATTATTATTGATTCATAATAAAGTCTTACAGCATCTATTAAAATTAAAAAATAATTCGACTATTTAAAAAAAGAGTTTAAAAAAGAATATATATACCGCAATACTTCTAGCAAAATACAAATCAATTTATAAGTTACTTTATCCAGAAATGAAAATTGCATTGCTAAATAAATCTACTTGACGTTAAACGACGGGAATAACTTTTCGAAATAAGTAGCCTCTCTCAACATTCCATTATATCTCGAATCGTGTTCATAGTACATAAAAATGGAAGTATTGTTAATAGTAACAACAAAACTGCCGTGTACAAGTTTCACGTATAAGTTTACGTTAAATTAAATTAAATTGAAATTCACAATCGAATAATTGATAAATTTTGAAAGACAATCAATTCGCCAAATTCTAAATTATCTATTTATTATGACGGTTTTCGATTATATCGATATTATTCCTACTTTGAATGTAACGAAAACACGAACATTCTTAAACTTACGTTTACTTTAAACTTTTTTGATTGACTCATCCGTAACTTTCTTTTATTAATTCTCATTCTCGCCCAAATATTATGTATGTATAAATGTTTGTACATACTTATGCATGTATAAGTATTCTTATTTAATATATTCTGTATCATAGAAATAATCATATGTCTTTATTGTCTTATCATTTAAATTTTTATAATTATTTATCAGCCAGTATTGTACATTTTATGGGAAAAAGAAAGAAGAACTTTGTTTTATATGGTCACGGTTAAAGGAACAAAGCAGGTTCGGATATAATATGGCAATAGTCACCTATTGACTTTCTGGTTGACTGCTTAACCCTGGGTATTTTATTTCTTTTTATGTATTTTCTATGTTGTTTTTGCTTGATATTAAATTAGAATTAAGTTTAGTTTACATTTTCATAAAAAAAAAATACAATAAAATAAGAAAAAAGAAAGAGAAAAGAATCCAGAAAGGGAGTAAAAAGAGGAGATGAAGATCAGTAACGAAAGAATTAACAGGTGAGTTGTGAAAAATATTGTGTTTTTTTTCTTGTTTTTTGCTTTTTGCATAATTTTATACATAGTATATATAATAATAATGCAAGAAAGAAATATGTAGGTACATACATGATAATAATTCTAAATAGTAGTAGTAGTAGTTCTGAGTCATGTTCAGCTTCGATGAGTTTAATTTTTTAAAATGTAAGGTGATAGTATACGATATAAAATAAAATATTTTATTTAAGTACATAAAATATGCAACTTAATATTATACAGGGTTATGTTATTCTGCCATTTCAAATTATTATATAATATTTTGTAGTTTTATTTGTCTGTAATGAAGCACAGAATGTTTGAAATTTCGGCTTTAGTATTTACAAGTTTTTTTTTTCACCATCAAATTGTTTAAACTGTTTATCTTTACAATTAAATTATATCGAAAATTATTACTGAACACCCTGTGCATAGGACTGCATATTAAACGTAAAGTTTTAATTTTACTTTTTACTTACTGTTATTGTACAGAGAAAAATGTTCAGCAGATGTTCTAATTTCTATGAGAAGATAATCATTAAGTAAAAATGTAAGGATATCCTTAGGTAAAATTTTTTATAGTATTTTTCTTTGTGTATGAAATATTTAAATTATTGTTAAATTAACTTCTTCTCTTGGAAGAGTTGTAGGAAGCATATTTTCAAAAATATCATAGTACCTCATTAATGGCTAGGATTAAATTATAAAATCGTATATTGAAAATTTTACATATGGCGTTTGATATTTGATTAAAAATCCGGTTCTTCTTACTAACTCGTACCGTAATATTCAAATTCGGTAGATAGGATTTTCTTAAATAGAAAATTTTTTTCTGGTTTGTTTTAATACGTATTATTCGTATGAATATAGGTGGGCATTTAATTGAATTTGCAATATTAAAAACATTGAATATCTGATTCGAACTTAGTTTGAGGGGAGTTTTCTTTTGATTTTTCTGCCTGGGAGATCGCCCTTATATACTGGTAACATTTATTTCCTTTGCAATGGTTATGCTTCACTTCTATTTTCTTTATTCAAAATAAAATTTATGACATTTTCTGAAATGTATAGACAAAAAGCAAATCTTTTAATTTGTAGCTACACAAAATTCTAATACAAAAAACTTATTCAATTTCCTCTAAACTTAAATCAATTACCTGTACATATATGTACAAACTTACACATATGTATACCAAGTAGCAGATGCTGAATGCTTAAAAAATTTAAGTTATTTTTCAAATTATTTAATTTTTCGTTTGGAACTTAAGTTTATTATTATACTTAGTTAGTTTTAAGTTTAGTTTGTCTTTGTGGTTATTGTATTATTTTACCCGCAGGGTATTTTGCAATACTTGCTATAGGTACATACGTTTAA